TTACCTTACCCATAACTCATATATTTCTATACACTTCTACCTACTTCGGTAAACAACTATCCAGCATTGTACCCTTGTTATTGCCTGTACTTTGATTGGCAACCTATACTTCGTATTATAGTTAAATAAAGCATTGCATCAATGCCTTAGCCACTGTCTATAATTTGTAACTGCCTGATAAGCATGTAAAATGGCACTTGTAGAAACAGTGTTTTCCAACAGGATGTGAAACAGAGCATTGTGTGACGTATGATGTGTATCCGAAAAATAAGCTTAAGTAATCCTAACATCAAAAAACGAGGGGGGGTAGGGTTGCTGACCAGCAAGCATTGATGATGAGGGCGATGACTTCAATCCACCCATGTTTGTAGGGCACAACATTTTGTTTGTGTCAGGTTCTTTGTGATTGAGAACAGATAAATCAATCCGTGATATTGAGGTCGTTTTCCTAAGCTCACCATTCAGACTCATGTTCTCAATTTTGTGCTGGATTAACTTTTTTATTAAGACAGGGTATAACATGCTAACTCGGAATTTTACACTAGGACTGTGTGGCAGGCACTGGATAGAAGAAGACGAGAAAAACTCAGACAATAGGAGATACAGTCATTAGTTTTGCTAACACCTTCCTCCATCCATGTACTTTCCGTTCTAATAAACAGCCTTCCTTATTCTAACTGCGACTTTCCTTCAGTCATTTGAACCTACTCAAAATTGTTAAATCTCATCATTCATTGTTCTTTATTACTGCATTCTCCCATCTAAAGGCTCTAATCACATTTTATTCTAGCAACAGGAGCTAGTATGAATTGAATCTACTAATTTATCATACCACTGTCTGTTCCACTACAAAATGTTAAGTATTGTTTATCGTTCATATCCAAGTGCCTTGCTGCTCCTCGGTTTTTCTCTCTTTTTTTCAGAATCTTGCTCTGAGAGCACAGTTATGGAACTTCTGACATCTGGAACAAACTCAGCGTACGCGTTTTCCTAAGGTTATAGTTTACACCAAGCGCTCTACAAATTTACTTTATAGCAACTATAAACTTAAAAAGTTGCATTGCATAAATACTTAGCACGACCGAAATCCTAACACAATGATGTCGAGTTTAGATCTGGTGTGTAATGTGGACGCGATGCCACCTTGAGAATTGTTTTGGAGAGTCCTCAGTATATCTGAAGAAATGAATTGATATTCACTCATATAGACTGTATTTATTTAACATGGATACTGTGAACCAATAGATGTTGTAATTTGTAGGTCATGTCTGTCAAATTGGCATGTACCTGCCCTTGCAGATATATATTATGTTATTAATCGCTACAATCCAAACGACTTTTGTGAAAAAACCTGTCTTCCTTTCGTCTAGTCCACTTGCACGATCAGTGGTACTTGATTTTGCAGTGATTCATGTTGCATTAATAATGGTGGATACTGAAATAAGTTGTAATGGGGATCTACAAGCTGTAAATCATCCGATGGCAACAACAATGTGTGGCCTCTAGATGATGATGGTCCTTGAACGAATTGAAGTCGTTACTCCGTTTCTCGTAGAATGTAATAACGTTTATTTGTGTTCACAGAAGTTCATAAACCGGACAGAACAGATAAACAACGCACTAATGAATTTGATAACGGATGATTATCAGACCATCAGAGATACTGATGAAATTCTGAATGCATTTTGAGATCTTGAAGCGGATTTACCATACACTATCAGTGTCAAACGAACGAACATAAGTGTTTAACCTAAGTTCATCAGCGGTGGTTTTTGGCTACCATCTCGGATTGAAAACCAAACTGCTAAGATATGTTGAACTTTAGTTGTGTACTTGTGATTTTTACACGTTTAACTAGCGAATTAATGTAGACGGACTTTCAACCTCAAGGAGCTCTAGTCGACAATTATGGCATATGATAGGACACACTGTTTCCCCAGCTTTAGTGATGTGTTCGCGATAGATATCTATGATGGGAATACTAAGCTGCACATGGTATACATAGGCGTGTCAGAGAGAGCATATCGTATGCACTGGAATGTAAGGCACTGATTTAATAACGTTTCAAAAAACTAACAGTCAAACAGTGGGTTGCAGAGTGCGTCATGTTATAATATCCAATCCCTCGTTCACCTGCACCAGCTTGCTAACACAACGGGATCCTTCCACATACGTAGTAAGGAGCAGCGTTGTGGTAGGTTTATTTTAATAAGACATCAAAATGTGCCACAGGAGGTGAGGTTAAAAGTTGGTAGAAAAGTCTACGAATCTTCGCTACATTATCCGTCAATCTTAGCCCATTCCTAATTCGGGACACTTTGATGAACTTTGAAATGGGCACCAAACTTCTTCGAGGATAAAAACAACTGGTGCCTTCGATCTGGCACATGTAGCAGTTCTATTCTTCTTATAGTTATATAGAAATTTTATGTGGTGAGATTATATTCTTGCTATGGAGACGGAATATCCTAGATATCACGAAAGGGTAAACCGATCCGTTCGGTTATGTAACCGCTTAACTTTTATGAATGATAACATAAATAAAGCAGTCACATAATCAGCGTTCAAATAGAGTGGGGGTGGAGACTTTTGACCGCAAAAATATTTGGATTGCACGAATTATAGTTAGGCATTGAGAGAATGAAAAAGCACATAAGAAAATCCCCATTCAATTTCATAGGGAATTCAGCAACAGGTTGAAAGTAATTTTATTATTAACTGGCCCGCTGAAATTATAACCTTCCTGGATAGATGTTGTTGTGTTTGGTAAGTTACTTGAAAGAAGACAAACGTGTTAGTTCAAAGGAAATAGTTTTTCACTGAGCCAAACACTATCAAATAAAATGTATTTGGTCAGGAAAGCATATGCCTGAGTAAACTCCCAAAGATATACTATTGCATTTTGAATTCATGTATGGGCTCAATGTATATACACTGACTCGTTGTCTATCACAAATTAGTCAGAACGCTACTGTAAAGAAATATACGACACTATACTAAATAAGTGTAGATATGGATTATGCAGAATACCTGAACAAATGATTTCACTAGACTATACAGTCGCTGATTTGTTCGGTAAAGTCCGGACAACCGACTCTGATACATATCAAACAGATGAATCTATAAAAAAAGTGAAAGTAATTGTTTTTAAAGAAGAGGTGTACCCCTGATAGCACAACAACATCATTCTTAAGCTAACGATCAAATAATACGATTCCTCAAATGTAGACAACATTGGGTATGAGGATATCATGAGGCGACGTAAACTGACTGGGAAAAACGAACGAAAATAGTGACAGATGTGCAAGTTCATATCTCTTCAATAAAATAATTATAGGCGACACCATATTCATTCACAAAAACATGCATAAAGCTACAAGGATCTCAACGGATCACATCACAGAGAACTAGATTGGACATATTTGCGTACCTGAAAAATGCGGAAGGACAATGGAAGACGTGATAACCAGGTAACGATCCGACATGGTTTCAAATCATCACCTGGTTGTGATCAAGATTAGTCTGAACTTTGAGAAATACTAGAAAACTGGGGAAATACCAGTGAAAAGTTTCAATACAACCTTCTTGCGAGATAACTACAAAATCAACCTATTCAAGATAACTATCGACAACAGTTCCAAGCCTTACAATATATATTCAAAAAGAGGAAACTACTATAAAGTATAACTGGAATATTACAAATATATTACTTTTATTTATAACTGGAAAAGTATCAAACAAGCGCTGACGTCAACGTGCCAGGAAGTGCTGGGCCACAAGAAGCATCATTATAAAGAATTAATCCATATTGAAAGCCTACTGCAAAACGAAGGAGCTGTAGAGGTAAACAATTCCCCAAATCAAGTATCTCTGTAAGTCTTCGACGTTGGATGCCGACCACATTAGTTTCAGTGGACTCATCTATCTGAAGGGGCTCGGTCATGCATCCGTGTCGGATCACGAGTGGCAACGCCGTGCTCAGCATACTCTGCAATCGCTAGCCAGTCTAGATCAGTCGATCCTCAATATATCGATAGCCTGTCAAATGTATCTTCCAAACTCCTCCCTTCTGCCTTTTGATTTCACTTCGTGGGTACGATTCATAGTAGAAAGTGTTACTGGTCAAAGCGTTGTCAAACCTCAAATACCTGTGGCATCTTCAGTATTCTATTCTGGCGATAAATCGATCTGTGAAAACGAAGCACCACTGAAAGTTTCTTTGTTGCCCTACGTCAACGAAAACTCCCACTGACCTTTACTCAGTTCAACTTATAGGTAAACGGTGGTATCCAGTGATAGTGAGTACAAACGCAGAGAGAACGCTACTTGCTTGCATGTCGCAATTTATTTATGGTTTCCATCAAGCACGCTGGAACACTTTTGTTAAACAAACAACAAAGTTTTCATATGTTCATTTCTATGAATTTATTGTTTCTACATATTTAAACATATATATGAGAATGTTCCACGTATTTTTACCGAACAAGACCTTAATTTTGAGAGAATTATGAAGGTATAAGTGCACTAAGCAGTATATTAAAACGGGATACTCGACATATATTTCTTCATTTCACCGTTATTAGTTGTTTGGATTAAGCTCCAATCTAGTCGTAACGATACGATTACTTATTTTTTAGATTTGAGGATATGTTGACTCATATGACACTTTACGCTACTGCTACTACAGCGTTACCATACAAGTGAGGGACATGAAATATCAATAACGAAAATAATGACCAGCGTTTCTATGTTAGAGAAGCATAGTTTATGAAATTCAAATTGACGGCACTTTATACTGAGTCCTAGGAAGAAAGACTGTTACCCACTAGTTATTCGCTGAAATTGTTGGAGATTACTTCAGAGGTTTTTTCACTAAGGCCTTTTGATAATAGCCAGCATTTTTATTAAAATACAACACGTTTCTCACTGATCAAGATCATCCTACGAACCAGATAGTGCTCAAGGTTGTTTGTCTACAGGAATTTAATTTAATTCAAGGTCTCTTGATGCAAAGAGGTAGGCGGGTGTGCGCGATTACAACGCTTATATTATTAGGTTAATGTATTTTGACAATGCTTCTGTCATTCATTGCTTGTTGAAACTTAGTGGTTTTCACAGTGTATGTAGATAACCCACTAATTGATTTCATGTAAAAACTCATTTCAGTAAATTATAATCCGAATGACGTCGAATAGACACTTTCGTTATTGTCAAACTAATTATCTCTGAGCCCTAAATCACAATCTCCCATTATTGCGCTAAGTAGAATTTGTGGTTGAGCGAAGAAATCCACAACTCAAACAGCTAATAAAATGGAAAATGCGTTCGAATGTAAAGGGGAAATAATGCGGATTTTCCCATTTAGATCACTGAATTGTTTGTTTTTCGCCTATATACACGTCAATTTCAATAATTTTGCTTCCACTTTCAAAACAGTTTTGGCATAACCCAAAACATCTGTGTTCGCCTTTATTCCGACAACACACCACACGGAAACTGCAATCCACGTAAAAATGGTATGTTTTTAAGGAAATTTGTTGAAAAGAAAAAGCATAATATTGTACAACATTCTGGGTAGTTGGCAGATGCTAGAGCATCAATCGTTATGTTTTATAATTCTAATTACCAAGTCTTATTGTAATTTGGAAAGATCTACAAAAGAAGGAGCAGGTGATGTATTATTAACAAGGCACGTGTACTTTGTTGCAAGTGCACTGAAAATTAAACACGCTTTCCCAACAATTAGTGAGAGTTCCCCGTGAAAATAAGAAAGTAAGCACATGTTTAAGAAATTCTTTATCGAAATCTAAGTTGAACATGATAAATACTCCACGGATTACTTCTTTTCGTCACGCCTGTTCGGCTATTGAAAATCAAAACAGTATTCTTGTGAATTCTAAAGTTTAAAGAACATAAAATGTCAAAACGATATCTGAATGACATGCTCCGGCACAACTAGTTACTTGAAGCTTCTCTTATAGTTATGTTCCTTAACACTCGATTGTACTTATACAGCAGTAAAGGATAGTTATCACTTTAAATTACTACACACGTGTTCTTTTTTCCTCCGATTACCCTTTCATAATATGTCTTTCACATCGTGAAAATAAACTTGTGTCGCGATATCGTACAGTTTCGCAGGGTCTTTTTCGTTGACAGATGGTGACAAAAATCGATTGGTTAATGCACTTGACGTTTAAATAGTGGATATAGGTTACTTCGTAAGCAGCCGTGAAACCTGCACTTCTGAAGTTCTCGTTGTGATAAATTGCCAACTAGCGTGAAAGGGCTGTCAACTTCACGTGTCATGATGTAAAAACTTATCGCTTTGAGGTTTTTAAGATCATCATCCATTAACCTCGTTAACATGGCCATTTGTAATACAAACAAATGACCCAATTAATGTCGTTGGTTACACATCTGTCCCTTATTTCTTTCTGCTGCAAACAAGTGTACAAAACCTGTAGTTCCTCTACAGATGACAAAGGCACCTGTTGACTTGATAGTCCACAATCGGATTGCCGCGGATGTTCGTGGTCACCAGACTTCGACAGTAGCAGAGATACCTGACGATATGTTCTGCAACACTATATCCAATCTATAAAATGTAAAAACTTCACTTGGTCGTACAGATGACTTATTCTTCCGCTAATGCACTACCTACATGCCTAGATTCCAACGTTGATGGTGACGTATTTAATTAACATTTACAAAGCAAAGAAACCTACTTGGCAATCGGTGAGGCAACACTGTCGAACAACCGAAGTTTGAAATATTGGACGTGGCTATTTCCAACCTGCATCTCGGCCACATCCATGTCAACGGAATTGTAAAGAAACTCTTCTTTACGCTTCAATGCAGCTCCACGAAATGTTAGTAAGGTTATTGTACTGACCCCTTCGGCTTCTCAGTGTTTAGTGACAAGGTGTTTTCGTCCGCTAAAATATTTATACGGTAAACATCAAATTTTTTTGGATGAAACTAACAAGTCCTTTGCAGACTGGAGACTATCTATAGTAAATGATAGTTTCTATGTTTGTTACTCACCGCATTCATGAATGACGTTACATTTCAGGACTGACCAATTGTCACCTGGTTGGTCACAGTTTTGCAGGTAGATATCAACAAACTCCGTTGGATGGAGACAATGTTCGTCACCAATAATTCAGTGTTTGGCTGCAATCACAAGCTGCTTCTTGCTTGATGCGTCTATAATGACTTATTGTTTGTTAGCGGGCTAAATATTACATAAGAGGTAATGAAATGGTTTATGGTCATGACTTTAGCACAAATGAAACAAAATACATTCACATAAAAGTATGTAACAATCGAACAATAACTAAATAATGGATACAATTAGTGGCAATACATTTACGATCAATATCCTTAACCGACACCCATGTGTGTTCATGGCTAACTACCGAACACATAAATATTCCTATATTACTAGAAGCGATGGGATCTTCGAAGTATTTGCGTGGGTCTGTGAAAGACTTAAATTTCAGTAGTCCATTCTCCCCTTTGTCAGTGACTAAACCAGGCTTTCCGTGTACCAATTGCAGTGATGTGACTCGTAATTTGCAGGAATGGCTTGATAGCACTCACTAATTGTTTTCTGTGTCTTCGGATTCACGAATAATCCACGCATTTTGTTACTCTAATTTATCACTTCTTTTATCACTGTGTTCATCATGATTTAATCTTTCCTATTAACATCAGTACTACTATTATAGATCCTACCGTTTACTTTGTTGCAATGCGGTCCAGCTAATCAAACTGGAACACTCTTGCACATATCTCTATATTGATTTTAACTAACTGGTTTATTGTACTTGATATAAAATGTACAAATGTATTGAAAGCTCTAACGGATACATTTGCATTTTAGATGGATTATTACATCCTGGATATGGAATGCCGAAGACACAGGAAAACATTTTTCACAATATATGCACTGGAAATATGAAATCACAAGTTAAAAATTTCGAATCAGTTTTGTTGTCTCCGAACCGAACAAAGACCATTCCCACAACACTATCTTTTCATCATATATCATGTAATATAAAAACCCAGATCTTCTCATGTAGTTCCCCAAGTTCCATACAAGTCCTTTCAGACCTTAGGTAAGAGTTCTGTTATTTTCAAGAGGTTGAGTATCCAATATCAGAGTTAACTTCGGAACTTATTCTGCCTAACATCTTATATGAACTTTTACGAAGCAAGTTACGGGTAATAACTTTATTAGCGATTAACTAGATATTTGTCCACAGTCACACTAACGACTGGTTTGCTTAATCTTATTACGTTTTAACTATTCCTATCAGCGATTTTTGTAGATACTTTTTAATGGCTCAACTGTACAGAGTTAATATTTAGGAAGAACTTAGAGATTATATGCTATCATAGAATCATTTGACGATCATATAGCTTAATTATGGCAATTGTTTTGGGATAGTTTTCAAAGATTAAAGAATTGAGCTTCCTGTACTTTGCTCTCGACCATCCTTTGATAGAGATTCTCTCAGTAGGTCTGGTTGTTACAAGGTACTAACTGAATTCTCAAACGCATTGCATGTATGTATGGTTATTTTTTAATATAAATATTCATTTATTGACTTTATAATACGCTGAGCAAAGCAGCGGAAATCAGCTGAGGTACGTCGGGATGTGAAATAGCCGTGCTTGAATTGTATACGTCAATTCTTCATTTAAATTTGCGTAATGCGGTGACTGAAATCTGAAGATAGTACTCAAATATTATCCTTGACCCGGACTATACTATAGCTCCTATATTTTTCTTGTGTTACCAGTGGTATTATGTTTCTTGTTTTTATTTGACAGACAATAGTAAGTAGTTTACGATTAATATGTATGACTGATGTAGTCCTTACTCCCAAATACTCTGGTACGGCGGAGGGGCCGCTCTCCCTCTCAAAGTGCTCTCACACGGCCACGCGTATACAACCACTGCCTGCTCGTGGTGGGGGTGTTGTTTACGAATTTGAGAGGACGAAAAGCGAATGTCCGGCGCTTTAACCGGGTTGATGGATATGGAGGATCCAACTAGGAGAGTTGGAAAACCCTGATTCCAAACCAATGGTGCATATGGGCTTCAGAATCCTGAGGAAACAAATGGCATATGAACCTATTGTTGGTCACCGGCTACCATGGAACTGCATCTCCTGACGTTGCTCCACTGCACTGTGGATTAGACCTTCAGGTCAAAGGCTCCGGGTGTGGTCCGCCAAGAAAATCAGCTGCTTCGGTTTAGGCAATCAGGCAGTATCACAGCTCTCACACAAATCAATTATAACTGCTACTTGCCTCATTGTTATCGTGTTGCGCATATGTATTTGGTGCCCACTTGTACCAATGTTTATGTGTTCAAATAAATAAATTCGGTGTTGTTCAAAATTTCGGTTTTCTTTGCCAGCTTTTTATAAAAAAATCATCCTTTTAATTTCTATCTAGTGGGTTTATGCCACCAGGAATGAACGCAATAATCGGACCGACAGGGTGTGGAAAGTCTACGTGAGTTCCATGAAAACTTTAAAATCTAATGATATCGCACAAGTGAATTTACTTATTTCATATATGAATTGGTTGGAGCTAGACATCAGCACCGTTGGATGTCGGCTCATTGGTTTAGAGGTCAAGCGTTCGCGCGCGGGACCGATAGGTTCAGAGTTCGCATCTCGCGAGGCGGGATCGTGGATGCGCACTGTTGAGGAGCTTCATACTGGGACGAAACGTCTGTCCAGTGCTTCCAGGTTTTCCATGGTTGTCTAGCTTCAATTGACTCATGGATTCAACTATAATATTTCATATGTATTCATGATATTTGGAAGAAAAATCACTATTTCAAACCATGTCACATATACTTATTTGGGTTCTCAAGTAGTTATGCATTAACTTTGGAATAAATATAGGCTGTATTAAGAACCCATGAACATGTACGGAGTTTTAAAGATGCACTTACTCGTTGAATATTTTGGATTTGTTGTTTTAACTATGAACTTTATTATGCATCAACCGAAAAAAATCACTGTACAAGTTTAAACGTCAGTGGTTCATTTTAGGTTGCCACAGGGTTTCATAGTGGAGGATCTCTTTAATAAGCATTGGTTTGTTGTACAGTTGAGGTTTAAAAAGCGATGTGTTTGTCGTCTGAGTCCACAATGATTAAACTGATGTATAACAGATAAGCGAACACCAGTTTCTCATCTTTTAGCCCGCATTTACAATACTACTACTACTACTACCAATTATCAACAGTTAATGTTATTATCCTACAGATGATGCAAGTCATTTACTTCATACATAACAAACTGAAAAGAAATTAAATAAAGGTAAGCAAAAATAAAGAATCTTAGTCATTCAATAAAATGAAGGAAAACTATTCAAAAGAGGTGAATAAAAAAATCCATAATAAAATGACTTCTTTTTCCGTCGTGAATAAGCACGAATATTGGTGTGCTACGGGAATATTTTGAGTCGTATTGACTGTGGTCTTTAATTTCTGTCATAAAGCTTAGTAAATTGTTGGTAGTATCCTAAAGGCTCACTTTGACAGTCAGATACTTCACATTTTATTGTCTTGGTCTAACTAGATCGATGCTCTCTTCTAAATTTCACTCTAATGTTAGGGTAATGGGCTAAAATCATGTGATTCACAGTCAAATAAACATGGTTATACTTAACAGTATTTTTTCATAAGTAAATTTAGAGGAATACTAAATATATTTAGCCTAAATCTGTTTGAGGTTTTCAGCAACTGAAATCCGAGCTATTTGATCAGTAACATATGCCCAGAAACTTATATAATAATTTTTATGACATTGCTGGACCACGAAAATCTCACTTAGCTTTGTTAGGTTGATTTGTATTCAGTTTTCCTATTGATTTTGCCCCCAAATGCCTTGGTACGGCCGAAGGTGGGGAGGGGCCGCTCTCCCTCCCGAAATGCTCTCACATGGCCAAGCGTACATAACTTCCATCAGGGAAGTCCTACTCACTGCCTTCTCGCGGCGGGGGTGTTGTTTACAAAATTGAGAGGACGTAAAGTGAATGTCCGGCGCTTTAACCGGGTTGGTGGACACGGAGGGTCCACAGCCCACACACAAATCAAATGACTTATGTTGCACATATGTATTCGGTGCCTCTTTGTAACAATATTTATGTATTCAAATAAATAAAAAATAAATTGATGTTGCATTCGATTTACTGTAAAACCACACTACAAAATGTCATCACCTGAAAGTTCTTTGTTAATCTGCCTTAGATATTAAGTTATTTAGTTTGACTTTATTTACCAAGATTTTTTATAAAGATCCTCTCGTCGTGTGTATCTGCTATTCCTCATTTTATTTATTTACCTCGTAACTGACCACACTAGAAATGGTTTCTTACTTAAGCCTAAGGTAGCTGTTAACGGATTAGTTTCGTACTCACCTGAAAAATGATTCGAACCCAATGGACCAAGGACCTTACTAAACGCACATGGATTTTGAAGTTTCAAAGAAAAGTTAAGCAGCTTCAAAGGTTTACATATTTTCGGTTGATTCGTTAACTGATGACAAAAGGAGACGTTTAAAGGCCCAGATTTCTGAACTTTAAATGTTAAGGTCTTTGTAAGTTAGTGAGTTAGACACTACTAGGAGTGATTCTTCTCTTCCTATTTTAATTAGCATTCGGCTTCATGAAACTTGCTTCAATGTCAAAATTTTCTATCTATTATCAAGGCTCCTAGATGTGTTGGCTGGACGTAAAAATCCTTCACAACTTACTGGATATGTTTTGTTGAATGGCAAACTTTTACCAAGCAGTGTTCGACGACGACTTTGTGGATATGTTGTTCAGGTAAAAATAGAATGTATTGAGTACTATAATAAAAAGTGCGTTTCAGTAGTTATTTTTACAAACTGGACTGTGTGTAGCATATCTAGGAACCTTCTAGATTTTTCTGTTTAACTTTCCACCCACAAATTTTGTTTGTCACACAATTTTTCATACCTACGCTTCAGTTATTGTCAACCTTTAAACTCAGTAAAATAACATCTATGTTTTTTTTAAATAATTAAACGTTGAAATTAAAACTTCTTTCAATTTAACCAACTCATTTACCAGATACTTAGGTATGACCGGCATTCTATATGTGATGGATAACAATACTACACGGACATTCAAATTGCAGTAGGTGGGGGCACTATTCGATTCTATGACTTAATGACAGAGAGTCGATTGCCTTAATCACTAGGTCACTGCTCCTGTCGGAAGATATTAAGCGTTAAATTACTTATACCATATTCATGTTTCCGTAAAAGTAACCTTTCCAATATATTGTATAAAATATTGATTTTTTGTACTGTGTTCTTGTGGTCCCCTCCGAAGATTCAACCAATATTGTTTTTTAAAACATAGTCTTTATAATCATCTGATGCTTAATTAGAGCTTGAAAACAATGATCACTGGGGAAATTAGACAGGTTATGGGTATGATCGTGAGCTTATTGACCGAGCTTCCTTCAGAGTTGTATACTGAGAGGCTTGCAAAACAAGTAAATCACTGCTAAAAGCTCTTTACTAGAGCGTTCGTTTTCGGAAACATCTCGTAGCCAAACATGATTTGAATTGACTGCATCAAATTGTTCATAATTATACCATTCATTCAGTCAATCAGTCGTCTAGTCACAACGCAGAACCTGTTACGTACGTATGTCGGTTCAAGTTGTCAGGTCAAATCCCAGAGTAGTTGAGGTAGTAACAATGTGAGTGGTGATTGGAAAGATTAGGCATCGAAGATGCGATCCAACAATATATAAATTAATGAAATAAAGACAGAAAGGTTATGAGTGATTCAAGGGATCAGGATTTGGTGGAAGGCAAAAAATGGACGCACCTGTGCCGTTAAGAACGGTTTTGAGCTATTTTATTGCAAGTCTCTAACCATTGGTTACGATAATCACCAGGACCTCAACCAGGCAGTCTACACCTATTAGCACGGCTCAGTGAAGCTGTCAATGACTTCATGGACTGATGTCATGTCTTGGTGCTTTCACCCCTAGCATTTTTTCCAGCCTACTCCACCAGAACACATCGCCCATCGAGGTAGGCGGTGGTTGGGTATATGTCACACATGTCCTAACCACTTAGTTGATGAGTTTTTACTAACTTATCAATAGATTTGTCATCCTTACTTAGTACACCATTCCTAAACCACGTATAGCTTACCCGGTGGTCCAAAAAGGCACAAGAAATGCTTGGAAGACACCTATGACCGAATACTAGTTAATTACGAATATCCTCAATTCTGGTCCACCGGTTGGCAGATGGATATTTCAACTACACCACGAGTGACGCATGTTTTCTAAGGCCAATTGGGCTTTCTGAATCTATGCTGAGATTCCGACAAACACCAGGACATCAGGATTAATAAGACTCCCAATACAAGTGAAGTGGTGGACGTGCTCAACTACTTCACACCCTATCTTTAGTTAAGGTGCTGACGCAAGCCATTTTTGAAGCAGCATTTTGCATTTGGAAAGAGAGAATCTCATCCCAAACATGCTTGCATTGTTGCTTAAGGTGGTCAGAAGACTGCGTTTTGTCAGCGTCTTAGCTTAACAGAAATATATCATCTGGGTATTCTAAGTCAACAAGTTAATCTACTGATGAAAAACCAATTTCTGAAAAATCAGACGACGACAGGCAAGCCCGATCACCAGGTCAGGGTAGTTGCTCCGGTCACGAAGCACATATATAATAATATAAAGGGGCACCAAAATAAATGTGCCTCATACAATAAAAATGAGATTGTAGGAAGATAGAGAAAGGAATGTTAACATGATATTGTTTAATTTGATGGTCGGTAAAGAGGCGTGTATTTATTGTGGTTAATTGGCCTATATAAGTGGGTTTGTTGAGTATAGTAAGACGGTGAGTGACGAAGTCTCAGCGTGGATAAAATAAAAATCCTGGTTTTTATCAGCTTCTGTTCCCTGACGGACAGGGAACACTTTCTTCTGCTTATCTGACATAATAGTTCTCTGTGTTTTGCTTAAAGGTTGTGAAATGTCGCTTTCGATAGTAAAATGCACATGTGGGTTTGTAATTATCTGATCAGAGATGTTTTTAATGCATTAATGTATTATAATGACTGAATTAAAGTTCTAGGTAGTGGTAAACCGATAGATGAGATTGTGAAATTTCATCAAGTGATTTGACTGAATTATGAGTCCTATATTTAAAGCCACCAACCACCGCATTCCACTATATCGACTATCATAAGAGTGGGCTGATAAAAAGATGGGGACAGCGAGACGAAAACAACTTAGGTACATTGGGTTACTAAGTTCAGGTTTGATCCATCTAGGTTGATACAAACATTTTGGTTGCAATCCATGAAACGATGGTCACACATTCTAAGTAATGTGGCTGAAAATCAACAATTAATGCACATATTTATACAATCTTTTTATGATACTCTATATTTTGATCGTAGTATTATTTCGTTTCTTTTTTTGGGTCACACTCAGAATTGCTATTTCCATGCAAGTTAAATATTTTCCCCCACATGTAATTAACCTGAAATTGCCAGGTTAGAGGTTTAGACTCTTCAACTTAAGGTTTTTCAAACGATGGGCATTTCTCACTCATATCAAAACTAATCTAATCTTACTGCATAAAAATGTATTTTTTTACTGGACTGCTCTGATATTAACAAATAAATCATGCTGTAAAGTTCTATCAGAAGTTATATATCACAACTTGAATATTGTGCATCCAATTAACAGTTTTATCTAAACTACTGTCGATTAATGAAACTATAAGTCTATATCGACTGAGGCGGTTCACAAATGCTTTGTGCCGTCACCTCAGGCTTCGAGTGCTGACCAGTATAGGGGTAAGTTATACAAAAGCTAGGGGTATGCTACAAGATATAAAGCTGTTGACTATCGGCTTCCTGTTCGGGGCCCGTGTAATACACATTATCACCTATCAAAAACTTTGAGTGGTATGGCGCATCAATTCATCTGGATTTATTTTCATCTTCCTGATAACGTGACCCAATATATACTAGTCCCAAATTCTACACTGATGATAATTGATTAACTTACATTTTTCAACTAAAAAATCTCTGGCGAAATTTCGAGATATATGTGTGTGTTCGTGGTTTCTTGATGCACTGTCTTATTTTGCCTCAGGAAAATATAGTCATGGAAACACTTACAATCCGAGAGAACATTACTTTTTCTGCTACACTACGATTACCTCGTTGTACTGCTGCGCGTGAAAGAGACGAAAAAGTGTCCAGTGTCATTGAAGAACTTGGTCTTACCTCTGTTGCTGATCGGATAGTAAGTTCTCTGAACATTTTTGATGTATTATTTGATTGTGGGAAATGGCATTTGTATGTTGAATTATTCTTTATGGTGTGTTTGTGGAGATCGTTGAATTTTGTTGAGATTATGAACAGACTTAAATTAGATAACCACTCAAAACCAGGAGAAATTGGACAACTGTTTCATTCTAGTGTGCGGCTCAGAAGTGCGAATATATGACTCACTCAGGGATCATACTCAGGACCTTCGATTCTCTCACTAAGCCTCTAACTTCTAGACCACTGAAGTGGTATTCAATGTCTTGCATTTCGCGAATTGATTTAAGTTAAACATGTAAATCCTCATACATTAACTCATTGGTTCATAGGTTAAATGCTCGGCAGGAGGTTTGGAGGTCCTGAGTTTGGTTCCTGGTGGAGTCGTGGGAGTTCACTGCTGAGGATTCTCACATCAGGACGAAACAACTGTCCAGTGTGTCCTGGTTTTCAACAACAGTTTAATTTAGCTATATACGTAATTCCAATAACATTAAGAAATTTCGACAAACCCCCTATACTGATGGTTATCATGTGTTTACAGGTGCGCATTAATTCTCGAAATCATTGTGAGAAGCAGTCATCAGTGAAGTTCAACCGCGTCAGGTGTTAGTCAGTTACCCACTAAAGACAATGGTAAATGGTTGGACGATATCTCCCATTGTACTTTACTTGGTGTCTGTTATTCAAGCACTGTACAGAAAATATGTATTTGGATCTATATATTCATACCAAACAAATTCGATCATCCAAATAAATCTGCTAAATATGATGGAAATTTGTTTTGTAGTTATTTTATATTTCTCCTTCCATTCAAACCGCCAACGGGCTTGTGAACTTTTAAACTTTAAGATTTGTCTGATACATGTCATTTATATTGATTTATCTCTTGAATATATTTTCCAGTCAGTTAAATAAAAAGGTATTTCTTCATGAACTATGAATACCAGAGCAACGAGTCTTCAAAGAATACTTACTATATATTCCTATTAATACTACTGTTTTTTATTATTAATACTACTCTTCCCATTACCAAAGAAAAGTATATAGAATAAAATATCAGCGTTACATCCTCTACTAAAGCCGAAGGTCAAGAAATTCTGACCTCACCTTCATACGGCCATAAATTTACAGTCTCTATCATAGATTTTCTCACAGCCTTCAAGTTGTCGGGTATTCCTATGATGCAATAAGATGAAATTGACTGCCCGTTGCTTAAATTTGGGTTAATGAGTGCATATGATCTACTTAAAGGGTACATAACAATATCACTTAATTATAGAGACAAAAATTACATGACCTCGAGAAAAAGATATATTAACAGCTAACTATACCATTGACCCTGTTTACTTTTGTCTCTTATGTGCATATGTGTATTGGATATAACCAATCTAGGTCACATGTACTTAAACATTAAACATTTAGTCGTCGTAGCGTTTGTATTTTGGAGAGTAAATAATCTTTTTTATAACTTTAATGGATTCTTGAATTTTTTTTTGGGTTGTCGATATCATAATAATAAGATGAACAGCAATCAGTACCTAGGACCTTAGTAATTTTTAATGCCGAAGAATGTGCTTGTGATAAAAAATGAGTCAATACATTTTAGCCTTAATTATCTATCGTAAGGTCATCTAGAATGTCTGTATTCGTATCCCCATTAAAATATGTAGAAGAAAAATTAATTACTTTGGTATATATATATATATATATATATATATATATATATATATATATATAAATCTTACCGTTACAAAAATGCAGATTGGAACTCAATCAACCTGTGGTGTTTCTGGGGGTGAACGTAAACGTACATGTATCGGTATTGAATTAGTGAATGATCCTTTAGTTCTCTATCTGGATGAACCTACAACAGGTTTAGATTCGTACACTGCTGGGACAGTAATTCAAACACTTAGACGGTAGGTAAATATAGTTTTTTGTTTTAAAAATATTGTCACTAAAACAATATCTGTAATTCGCATGAGTAAACTTCTATTTCGGATTATAAATTTGATGCACTATGCAATGAGCTAATGTCAAGCGACTCATTCTTATTATTTTCAGTGAATGAAATAACTTCATATGTGGTTGTTTACTCAAAAGCTTGGAACTTGTAAACACCACGAATCACTTGGAATCTTTGTGTTAGTGCTATATGGATTAGATCAAAGCATGATCGTACAGAATTGTGTTGTGGCACTCTGATCGGATATTTCATAACCAATTAGCGCTAGCGGATATTTAAAGCAGACTCTAGAATTTTCTTATGTGAAGTATACCAAACGTCTTTCTTATTGTGATTTCTAATGCCGCCCAACCTTGTTATTTGGAATGTAATTACGTTCCTGTCCAATTGTGTTCTGATTTGGGGACTTGTCGAGTGAAGTAGTGTCCAAGATTACCGAGCAATAAGAGTCTCTGGGTGGTAGTAAGAGAAATCATAACACTGGGTTTTCTGAAATCCCAAATTGAGGCCCGTTTGACCAACGTTCTTACTTAATGACTGTACAACTATTTTTATCTCTATTATATATAGGCTATTAGCGGGTCATCCGTGAATAAGGCAACAAACATACTGTTCTATGGAATTATTTCAACAAGATTACTGACCTTCCCAAAATTGTTTCGTAAAGAAACTTTTTCTTGTGTCGATCATAAGAAAATAAAATACCTTTTCCAGTAATGATTATCCAACTATATTTCCAATTTATATGGATTAAAGTAACAAAGCTTGCATTATTAGATAAAACTTAGCATTTAGCACATACTCGAAGTTTATGTACTAAATGTTGTGTGTACGTGTTGTTTATAAATATTATATTTGAACTTCTCATTATAACTAGTTCTTCATGATGCTGCTCAAAAATCAAGTATGTGTTTGTGTAATTAGCTTCAGATCATGATTTTTCTATGGATGCGCTGCAATGTGATTCAGTCACCAAATGTAGGTTTATATTCTCGTCTTTGAGCCGCACTTTGGTGAACGGCTATTTGTACTATGAAGCTGCCCAAACTAAGGTCAATGGGGTGGCAGAGTTCGAAACCAAGACGTGCTGGTTCGAAGCGAAATGTCCCAACTACTAAACCATTACTCTTTATCTATATGAAAGCTGGTGATATTACTTTGCTGCTTGAACTAAATTTCCTAGAACGGAACATGAACCCCCTATTGTCTGGATGAAAGTCGACTACTTCAACTTATAAACCATTCCTCAAAAATAAACTGATATTTAATTAGACTTGTTTATCGTTATTGAGGTGTTGAAATTTTTATATTTTATTGCATTTTAATTGTGTATTCTCGGATAAGTGTTTTGTTTAGTATTGCATTTGATAGGATTTGTCGGCCTAAAGCAGTACAATAATGGATGATAAAATATTTTGTGACTTTTTAAACAATATGCAGTTTTATGAGAAAATTATATTTGAAATAATCTCAGCGATTGAAGTTTAAATAATTCCAACGTTTCGTTCAGCTAATTTGTCTGGACTTCTTCAGGGTGATAATCAAAATCATCAAAGAAATATATTTCGATAATGCAATGAGAAGACGAAGTGTATCAGAATTATGTGATACATTTTGAACAATCTGATTACACATATACTTGTTAAGACATTTTTTAATGAAAATTTATACTGAGGGAAGCAGCTTCAATCCTGGCAACACCGCTTAGCGTGATGTTCTCACACTCGCTAATCCAACGCAAACTACCGGACATTTGGAAGCTGGTTCATATCACATCAATTTTCAAAGGAGGTCGACGCAGCGAAACTTCAAGCTACCGACCTTCAAAAATTATGGAGTCCTTGATATGCGACGATATACACGACTATTTATTGTCTTTAAACTTTTTTTCATCCCAACAGCATGGTTTCAGAAAACATCACTCTTGTATAACCAACCTGACTGCGGTGGACAGATAGACAACCATCCTTGATCGCAAGGAAAAGGTTGACGTCATTTACCTTGACTTCTCAAAAGGTTTTGATTGGGTCAATCATGTATGTCTTATCAATAAGCTCAAATCATTGGGTATCAAACCACCTCCAATTGACTGGCTTACTTCATATCCAAAGAATCGACATTTTAAGGTCAGGGTTAACTTCTTTTTCTCTCAGGCTATGGGATGTCATAGTGGGGTCCCCCAGGGTACAGTACAAGTTCCTCTTCTTTTGATTTATATAAACGATCTTCCACAACAGGTGTCATCTAACTTACTACTTTTTGTTGATGATGTGAAACGTTAGAGAGATACGCAACCAAGAGGATATGACTCGAATTCGAAGTTGGGCAGATGACAACGGACTTACCTTTAACACTTCAAAGTGTAAAGTAGTCCATCTGAGACATGTTGCAGAGTACAGTTACAACTTAGGAAACTCCTCCCTAGGAGTATCCCAAGTTGAAAAGATTTAGGAGTGCTGGCACCCTACGGTTTGAAGTCTTAAGCTGGCTGTGACAAAAATGCTTTTCGAGCAAACCTTGCACTAATGACATTGAAGCGCATTTTCGGCCAGAAATACATATTCTTAATACCATTTGTTGAAAAACTCATTCATCTGTGTACATATTTGTACTTATGTTATCATGAAATTTATCCGCAACTGTTGCTTTGCTAATCCTAAGTACTTTCGGAGTGGGTGGCTTAGTATTCAAAGTCTGACCTCCAGCCTATATGTCCCAGGTTTGAACCAAACCCTATCTATTTATGTCTGGGAAGCGGAGTAGTATTATTAGCTGTCACACTTAGAATGTAGCTCATACCCAAGTATCTGGTGAATGAGTTAGTTTACATTTTTAGATATTTTATTCGTGAAAAATGCCTTAATCATGTAAAGTTTTGTCTTAAATTCTAACATTTAAGCACTGTAGAATATCGTTTTTTTTAAAAATTCATTTTTCAGATTAGCAGACTCTGGTCGGACAATTGTTTTTTCAATCCATCAACCAAAATATTCAATTTATCGTCGATTTGATCGACTTACTATAATTTCCAATGGACAAATGATTTACCATGGACCTGGTGGTCAAAAGCCAATTCTTCATTTTGAAAATTGTGGTCAGTAGTAAGAATAAGGAGAAAAAATTTCTTATGTTCGGTATATTGATTACTTCTAATTAGCCTTACCGGTGATTTTCCTTATTCTCATTCTAAAGTGTGCAACTGTGTTGCATACAAGTGTAAATTTTTATTGCGGTGCAAACATAGATTGTCACGGTTAACGATCACTGAAGTGTGGTTTCCAAGAGATTAATGTGTAAATGTATAATTCAAGTTGATTGTTCACATCATTAAACACATTCTTCCCATATTTCAATTCGTCTCCTCACGAACGTTTTTGTTTACCAGTCAACTCCCCTAACATAAGTAATTATGCAATACAGTAACTAAGCATAAAATTTCCTATTCAATCATGAGCCACACGTTTTTAAATGCGAAAGCGAGTAGGATTACCCGGCTCCTCAAACTAAATTAACTGGGGCAAAGTTTGAAGGTCGAATGGTTTAACTCCCACAACTAGTCATTATCGTAGGAAAATAAGGTTTTCTTGGGTGTTTTTTGTATAAACGTTTGTTCATTTTAATAAAAATTTTCATCACGAAAGAGATAGAAAGGCATTGGGAACTAAAGAGCAACAAATACTTGTCTTAGAATTTGGACATCTCAAGTCATGCGGCCACGCAGAATCGAGTATATAACCTTAAGACTAGTTATTCAACTTTATTACATTGCTGAGATATTCCTCCTCCACCCTTATTCTAAACGATGTTTTATGAGTTCATTTATATCCTGTTGTGTTTTTTCACGTAAACAATTTAGAAGTGACGTACAGACTTATTTATTGTATTGCATATTCAAACAAATCTTTTTTAACCACCGTTTAACCGTTTTATTGACATTTTACTTTGAAATTCCTATTCAATCTTTCCCTGACTTACAACGTACCTCATACTAAGTATCTATCATTAGGCTAATTTTCATGTGTTTTATCGTATAACTTCCAGATATTGGGCGTTTTTTAATTTCACAGATTGGAATCATGAGTCAATTGAAGCTAGACCACCATGGAAAACCTGGAAGCACTGGACGGCCGTTTCGTTGATGCGCACTGCTGAGGAGTCCCATACTAGGACGAAACGGCCTTCCAGGTTTTCCATGGTGGTCTAGCTTCCATTGACTCATGCTTCCAATCTGTGAAATTCCTAAAAATCTTCACAAAACCCATTCCGTTTTTTAATTGTTTGAAAAATGTCTAAATAACCCACAGACTGATTGTTAATGAATTGTTACAGTTAAGTGAATAGTCGTTGGTTTTTGTACCGATATATTGTAATCTCTTCTATGGAGTCCGAAACATTGTCTTGGTCGGCATGCTATTTTTACAATTAAAAAAAACGCGAAATAACTAGTTGTCTCATTATGAATTTGTTATGCCCAAAGCCGCCAATCAGAAGCAGCGAATTATCGATCGGACCAAGAACGCGTAAAACACGTGCGAGCAGCCTAGAGCCCTGATTGGTCCTGCTTTCCACCTAGCCCAGCCAGTTACGTCCAGAACACCAGTCTCAGCCCCTGCAATATGAATCATTATATTTCAAATATACTCTGTTTATATACCAATCAAACAGACCACAACGTACCAGTGAAATCAGTCAGTCAGTCAGCTACAACGTAGGACCAGGCACATATGTGCATCGGTCCAGGTTGCCATACCTCATTAGCACAGCAAGATGAACAGCGGATTCATAGGAGTGGTTAGGTCAAAGGTTGCAATAAGGATATAGATTAGGAAGAAAGAATTAGTTCGTAGAAAGAAAGATATGAAGTGATTTTAGTCTCTTAGTTTAAGGGAAGACAGGGAGTGTATACACCGACGCCATTGTGATCGATTCTGAGCTATGTCACCAAGAGTCTCCAACCATTGGTTACGATAGTCACGCGGACCCCAACCAAGTAGTCTGCATCTACCAACATGGCTCAGACTAGAAGTTAGTGACTTCAAGCACTGATGCCACGTTTTGGTTTGGCCGCCCCTAACTTTCTTCCAACCATCCACTACCCCGGTTAGCATTGCACGTCGTGGTAATCGGTGTTCAGGCATACGTAATACGTGGCCCAACCATCTCAGTCGATGAAGATTCATAACCTCATCAACTGATTTACCATCATTCCCTAATACCCTGCGTTTAACCTCTCTATTACTTACCCGGTGATCCCAGCAGATGCCAGCAATATTTCTAAGGCATCTGTGGTCAAATACTAGTAGCTTACGGGTGTCTTCTACTCTTAAGGGCCATGTTTCGCTGCCGTAAATTAAAACAGAACGAACTGCCGCGCAGTATACTCGTCCTTTTATTAATAGACGGATATCTCGCCTTCGCCAAAGGTGACGTAAGTTGCCAAAAGCCAAACGAGCTTTTCGAATCCGTGCTGAGATTTCGTCAGACACCGACCTATTAGGGCTGATCAGACTTCCAAGATAAGTGAAGTTGTCAACGCGTTCAACTACTTCACTCCCTATCCTTAGTTCAGGTGTTGACGGAGACCAGTCTTGAAGCAACAACTTGCATTTAGAGGGAGAGAAGCGCATTCCAAACATTCTGGCATTGTTGCTCAGTGCTACCAGAAGACTCTGCATTTTGTCAGCGTCTTCACCAAACAGGACTATGTCATCTGCGTATTCTAAGTCGATAAGTGGACCTCCTGGAAGGAGATCAATACCCGAGAATTCAGTCGACGAGAAAGTTATTTCCATCAGTAGGTCTATGATGAAGTTGAACAAAAATGGGGAAAGTGGACAGCCTTGACGGACACCACTTGAGGATGCAAAAGTAGATGACAGTTCGCCATAAGCCCTGACTCGACTAGTAGTGTTCGAGTAAAGAGCCTTCACAAGGTTTATGTACTTCTGAGGTACGCCTTTCAATGACAGACACTGCCACAGAGTCTCGCGGTCTACCGAGTCAAATGCTGCTTTTAAGTCAAGAAAGACCACCATCGTCGGACGCCGATAGTGAAATATGAAACAACATTTGTACAAGAATGAGGGTAGATGTGACTGTGGATGAGGGAGGTAGTAATTAATAAACTGGGTAGAACTCAAGAATGGTAAAACGTATAACAATAGTTTATAGGTCAAAATAAAGCTTATAATAAGAGGAATATGAATATGCATAGTTTAGTTACCTAATAATTGTACAATAGAAATATACCTTTAGTATTGGTCCATCAATATATCCCAAAAGTTACCATTCATTATTCTTGTCGGGACATAACAGAATTACAGAATGTCCTCTTAATATTATTCACTTAATTTTTTCTTCGTTTCTTCCCTTAAATCATAATTATGTCATACTATTTTGTGAAATATATGTATATATATTTTTCCAATATACTAAACACAGACTTAGAGTAGGTCTTGGATCCAGTTTCCAACTACTTGTTTTTTTCAAATCTCGCACAACCTACATCGATCTAAGTAACTGGGTGGTAGTGGTAGTAGCATTACTACTCTCCGTACAAAATGTTGGGCTGAAAAATGGGTTCCAACCAAAAAGCTTGTTATATATTGGAACACCGAATTCGATCTAATCATAGCTTATCTACTTTTTATTTAAAGGTTATTTCATTGAAGGTCATAATAATCCAGCAGATTTCTTCATGGATATTTTGCATGGAGAATTCGATATTGATGCAACAGTTGTACAACAAGAGAATATTCCAGGTAATGTAAACATGAAGTAGAGAAAAGTCATTTGATTTATCGTTCATGTATTTACTAAAATGCAAATGAATTATCACTAAATTCTACCTTTAATTATAAACTAGTCGTATTGATTATATTATTGTATAACCTGATCCTTATTTATTTATGAATTTTAAAGCATTGTGTGTTTTATATGATTATCTCGGTAGTACATTTAATTGCAAGTTTTTGACGAGGTTAGATTGTAGCTAACAGTCAGACGCCGTGGTAAATGATGAAACCAACTTATCAGTATTCAGGATGATATCATTGGTTGTATATTACTTATAGCTATTAATTAGTTTTAATGTGGTATTGAGTGGTATCTTATATCATTTATCAACAGTTCAATAGCATCTAGTAGTTAAGCGTTTTTTTAAAATCTCTTTCAAACACCATTCGTGAAACTTAAAGGTGAACATTTTCCCTTGAATTTGTCAATAATAAACTTGTCGGGCTAATTGGAATATTAAATTTCGATATAAATGGATTTTTGGTCTATTTTATTGATCCTGCAGTAATTTCTTTTGATGTTTACTGTGTACAATGATCCTTTGCATCTATCAATTGATATATTCTATGCAGCTTCCTCATTTAGTCTTTTCGATGGTATCAAGTTTCGGGGTCAACGAGAAAATAATTGTTATGGGGAATTCTCCTTGTTAGCGAGATCAACTGACTGTACTGTTTGCTTTTCAAACACAGTCACGTTACGACTAGAAAAGTTATTTAACTAATAACTTTTCTTTTACTCCTGCTAAAAAGATAGTTCAACCATGCTTTTGTGATTCAGGTTTTATGGTTTATACTAGAATTTACCTAATGTTGATGTAGTCTACCTATCTATTTTAGAGAGTTGTGTTAAGTGTTTGAAATGTGATAGCATATTGAATATTTTATTTTCTTACTTAAATCATCTCGATTTCGCAAACTGCTTTAAATCTACTGAGATAGACTGAATTTCAGGAATCTCACTTTCAATTTACCTTTTCAAAGTCGTTTACTGTTTTAATGAAAAATTGATAAACTTTGAATGCAAAGAGAACATAATGAGTTGGTGCGTTCTATTAAAACTCAATCTGTTAATTGTTATGAATGAAAATTTCAAACCGTTGAACACGTTAAGTACATTTTGAAAACTCAAAATATTGGCCTGAAAATAGCTAATATTCAAGCCTAGTTTTCACTGTCTACCTTCAGTAACAATTTGGAATGAAAAAACTTTATAATAATTAAATTAAGCAGTTTATTCCGCATTCTTTTCCATTATCTAAGTATCTTATTTTCTCATACTGATATGACTTTGTGCTATCCAAGGAGAAAAACTGTAAGACTAATCATTCACACTGACATTGTAATGTATTACGTTTATTGTGTTCTTAAATCATTCTAGGTACAAGTGAAAAAGATGTTTGTAAAACTATCCGTGAAACGGTTTGTCGTAAGCTTATTGCGTGCTGGCTAGAGTCTACACTGTGGAGAGAGTAAGTGTGTTAATATATGTAGGAAGAAATGTGCGTTTGAATTAAAGATCTCTTTTTGTCATGTTGACCTATTGACAGATAACTCCCAAAAAACACTAAAAATTGAAACACGAAGTTCAGCGGATGGATCTCTTTTCAACGAATTTATTATCAAGGTGTAAAATCGTATATGAAACAACATAGATTTAGGTTTGCCGACTGAACACTTGAAAGAACTATTGTTACATTGTACCTTTTATGCCCAGTTCAATTTCAACAATGAAATATATAGACAAAGAGGTGGGATCGCAATGAGATCTCCATGGGGTCCAATTTTAGCAGACTGTTTTATGGCAAAACTAGAAATCGACCAACTCAGTTCAATGATTAATCGACTTCACCTATACGTAAGATACATGGAGGACAACTGTCGTTTGTGACGATAATTTCGAATTAGAGGATATCTTACACACCTTCAACTCATGTTACCCTTCCATAGACTTCACGTTAGAAAGCGAGAGAGACCAATCGATCTCTCTTCTCGATGTACGTCTAATGAGAAGGAGTAATGGTTCCTTAAAAAGAACCATCTATAGAAAACAAACATGGAATGACCAGCTAACCAACTTCTATAACTGGGTTCCTTTAAGTAGAAAAAGAAATCTCATCCACTTTTTATTTCATCGAATACATCGGATATGCAGTGTGCAATACATTAACGAAGAACTCTCATTCCTCAGGAAAACCTTGACGAAAAATGACTACCCATACCGTTTCATAGAGAAGAATATGAGTAGAAGTAGTTGCGACAGGAAATCTTGTTGTTCCGCCCCAAAGAAAAACCTCTATATAAGTCTGGAATTTAAAAGGGATCGACCATCTGACGTAATCAAAAGTCGTCTAATGACAGCGATTAAAAGAACATTTAATGTGGCAAAACTGCGAATAACCTTCTCTAGTAGGAACTTATTTTCTGTATCCAAAAAAAGATAAGCTTCCGCGTCTAGTCGCTTGTATGTGCATCTACCAGTTCACCTGCTCTTGTGGAGCAAGGTACATTGGCCGTAGCCAGCGCTCGCTTTCAACTTGGATACGGGAACATATCCCAGTTTGGTTCTAGAAGGGTGAAAGAAAAGCAGTTAGGAGTTCTATACTTGAACACCTAATCGACTGTAATCATTCTACGGATCCACAATTTAATTCTAAGGTTGTTTATATGATTCGTTCAAATCTACCTAGATTTCTTCATATCCAACTCCTAAAAATAGCCGAAGCTGTTACCATCCACGAGCTCAAACCATAACGATGCGTACAAAAGAAGTACGTCTTATTGTTATCGTTACCTTGGCCTTTATTACTATTATTATTATTATTATTATTATTATTATTATTATTATTATTATTATTATTGTTACTGTATTCCCCCTTTACTTATGTCTTATATTCTCATTGTTTTATTCGTGAATACTCATCATATCACCATATTTATTTTTACACCTCTATGACCTTTAATTATTATATCAGAAACATTCTAATCATCTTATTATATTCACTAAATCTAATGTTATTATTCGTATTGCGTAATCTAGTATTGTAATCTTCTATTCGCCATCTTGGTTATTCATGTTCACATTTCCTCACGGAATTAGTACTTTAACAAAAAAAATTTCATATATATACGATTGTACAGCTTGATAATATATTGACGTATTTCAACTGAGAAGTAAGATTAGTTCAGCGAAGAGTTCTCTTTTCGGCGAATTCATTTTCAAAGCTGCACAATCGCAAATATATATACTTATTTTTACAGGATGATGATAATACTGATAATAAACTTCTGTTATACATGGTGAGAGTGAGGTTAAATAAACAAAGGTATTAAAAAATAAAAAAAATTAAAACGGAAATTTTAATAATCGTTTGATTGTTATTGGCTTAAGTATTCATCAAAAGATAGATAGATAGAGAAATTATCATTGGGAAAGGATGCTCGGCGTAATAAAATAAAATGTTAAAACAGAAATGAAATGTAATCGGAATGATCGTGGAAATAAAAACAAATCAGTTGGGGGTAGAAGATTTAAAGGGAAGATGGAAGGTGAAGCAGGTGGCTGTAAGGGAACGAGAGTATGAAGAAAGAGAAAAATTTTAATACATTAAGACCATGGTAGAAGAAGAGGTTGTATATCAACTGTCTTCCTCACGCTACCATTGCTTTATTCTCTAGAGAAGTAGCTTGCATTGAGTTATGAAACGTCAGAAAACTCAATTTTTCTACTCATTGGAACAATACAACTATATTATATCATAATTGAACATTATCACGGCCTAAGTTTCTTTGCAAACTATGAATGATAAACTCTCTCTAATTCATGTGATCAATTACCGTAAAATGAGCAGTTATATATATATATATATATATATATATATATATATATATATATATATATATATATATATATATATATATATATATACTATATACTATATACTATAAAGGTTTCAGTCTTTCTGAATGTCCTTTTCTAATTGTTGTAACTTGTGACTGTCGATTAGAGCGAAGCGTATTTTTCGATCGGATCAATGACACGAAAAACACGTACGAACGACCTAGAGTCCCGATTGGCCCTGTTTCACTGTCTAGCCCAGCCAGTTGGGTCCATAAGACAAGTCTCAGCCTCTGAGATATGGATCGTTATATTTCAAACATACTCTGTTTATATACCAACCAAACAGACCACATCGTACCATAAAATAGAAAACAACATTTTTACAATATTTAACAAGTGAAGTAAATACTGATCAATAGGGAATGTCCATTTAAAGTCCAAGGACACCATTAGACTTAACATGATAATTATTGGTGTATTTTTCCGAATATCCTAACACTAATCCATTCTGTTGTTTGTGGAAAAGAAATTTCAACACGACACCGTAACTCATCCCTTTCAAAATGTTCTTATATGGTAGAATGTGTTGAGAAGAAATGATTAAATACTGTCACAAAGTAATTTTAAACAGAATTATATTGAAATACATACATTGAAAATGGAGGGAATTCATCACTGGTTTGTATCAATTTTGAAACGTCTATATTTGAACTCTCACTATCATTCACTCTATCTGAGTAGTTCATATTATTTCCGTTTAATTGTGAACAGAAAATTATGTTCAAGTGATACAACGCTCAAGACATATCCCTAACAATAAGATTTTAGTTGATTGGGAAATGATTGCTCTAAAGACTAATTACTTACATTTTGTCATGCTTATTTTGTGTTGACACTGTGGATAAATGTCCCATTTTATTTCATAAAAAGCCTAAATATCCTTGCGTCTATATCAAGAAAGCTTTTGTACAAACTGGACTTCTCAATATTGTTATCGGGCAGGGAAAAATAGTTTAGAGGCAGTGTTATTCATTTAATTTTATTCGGAGTTTTGAATAATTAACTTAGTATGCAAACGTATAATAAAAATATTATTTTGTCAATAATAACGTATCGATATGTTACACTGAATAAATTCTCATAAAATTATGTTTTACAACAACTTTGAAGTGCATATATTTTCATACAACGTACGTACTGCCAATTCTTAATGTGATGGATTGGTTCCGTTGTTTAATTTGACCGCTCATTCTACTTTTATCTTAGTTCCACCTACAATAATTTCACTCATCAAGATATGCGTTACTGAAACAAGCTACCTAAAAAAGAAACCAGTCTTTTCAGACAATGTTTATACACATCAATACATCCTTTATTGTACAATTATTTCGCTTGAAATCATATCATACAGCTAAATGAACTAAGTGATTTGTAGTACATCATCTTTTGAACATAAACTGCTTTGGCAAATCTTGTTTTGTACTTTGATAAATATTGACTTTTACACTTTTACCAATGCATCTATGTAACATATGCATTTTTTAGTCACAAAACGTAGATAAACAGAGACTAACCAATCATCACAAAACGACCTTCATATTCACTATGCTTTTAATTAAAACTTTATTTAAAAGAATGTTGTGTTTGAAGGCTACTTTAAAAACTATGCAATGTTGAGTTGTTTTCTTTACGTTGGAGAATAGTTAGCACATTTTAATGTAACACTAAGAAGATTGTGAAATATATTTTCAAGTGATAATAACACGTGAAAATTATTTCTGAAATGATTGGTTAAATAAAATCAATATAGGAATTCTTACGAAGTTCATTTGTTGATGTACTTATGACACACTAATCAGTTGGTAGTTAGTTTTATGAAATAGCTTTCAGTATTGACCTTGTACGACTATATATTAAGTAATTTACATACCTAATCTGATGCAATATTAGTATCATAAGCTCAGTGACAGTTTTATTCACTCAAGTTTTTTTTCAGTTAGAATTATAAACACTCGTTTACTAGGTGTGATCTGGCTTACTATAAATCATGTGTAATATCCAGTTACTTTGATATGCTTAACATTTCATTAGTTCAGGTAGTACTCACCACAGACTTCATAGTTCTATATTTGGGTACATTCTATTCAGTGATATACGGTTTAATTTCTTTGACAAGAATCAAAGCGACTCAACTGTGTCACATAATTTATTTTTATAAGGAGAACAGTTAACGTCTGAATGGTTCAATAGTAAGTCTTCTTGCTCTCTATAATACTTAACATCTTCAAAAAATTATCGCACAGAAAAAGTGCAGGCGACACTTTGTTAAATGATGATAAAATACATTTTTTCGGGGATTTTATTGAATTCACTCAGTATATCCACACAACTGTCTTTATCATTTTGTTAATAAAGTGCTGATGGAATAGATGATGAAATTTCAATCAGCGATTGTCAACTTACCAAACTTACAGTAAATGCCTTCATTAGTTTTGTTCACCTGATGAACTGATCAGACTTACAAAATCCAATAAACATGACTAATATTTCTTTTTGCACGAGCAAAAATACATCTGAAACTAATCGCTGTCCAAAAATATACGTTGTTACAATCTCTCGAATTTTCCAATTTTTGAGTATAATTTAGTGATTTGTACATAAAGCTCGAAACTAAATACAAGAAGTAGGATTGAAGGAAAAATCATACTGCAAATAAACGTTTTGTTTGATGTAATGATCCCCCCATGATACTATTGAACTATACTGATTTAAACTAGAAATTGTCTCATCGAATGAGCGGTGTTTATACTACTTATCTAGTAATTAAGAGTTATATATACAAATCATTTAGTCAAAGTTGATTCAAGTTTAATATATTGTGTATTGTGAATTCACAAATCTCATCCTATCATGTTTGTGATAGTTCCAAGGAAGTCTACGAGACTTTTTAAAGTTTGAATTTGTAAGTCGTCAGGTTATTTCAGATTTTCATAGCAACGACCATATCCTTATCGCAAGCCGTTCATATGTCCAGTTTTTTTACGCTATGTCAGGAGACTGACATATCGAATAAAAATTAAAGGAATAAAAATTCTACCAACATTCAATTAATGCTATATAAAAACTTTATTCAAATAAACAACAGACAGATAAGCAATGTTAGAAGAAATGTAATCATTGGGCGTATTGCGAAATAACAATGGGAAGGTACAAGTAAACAACACTAAATCTTGAAGTTATTTTCAAAACTGCCGAATCAGAACTATTTTGACCGCTTCACCATTACAGTATACCTTAGTACACCGAATAGAATCCAGTAGTATTCACCTAAAGGAAGTCGCAAACATATCATCTTTAATGTTTGTCTTCATGAATTCCTCTATATTGCTTTTTCCCGTTTTAGATGCAAAGTATTTCTTGCAGAATGTAGTAAGAATTTTTATCAGAATAGATTAGGTCAATTGAAGCAGGAAAAACTATGTAACATTCAAAAATACAATTCAGCGACGACAAGAAAAACAACAACGGCGATCACCAAACATATTCAGCGCAGACAAGCCAAACAGTAATGATATATATTTTTTTAATACAGTAATCATTGGTATATTTATAATTAACTTTTGCTACTTCCAAATTTATAAATTTGGCTTTGAATTACACTTCATCACGTAAGGTGTAGGTGATACTAGTGTATTATCCATGAATTGCTAGATGAGGCGGGATTCGAACTGAGGATCTACACTTTGAACACTGAGTGCTTAAAAGCAATAAGGTATGATATCTTATATAAGTATAGTCTTAATAGTACATGACGAATACTGCTGAATGACTTGCGTTATTACGAAATCATCGTTAGTTGAAGCCGAGTTGAGTAATCTAACTACAAGATTTCACTGTTAAAGAGGTTTTTCTTTTGCTTCAGTTTTCCGTAAGATACTCACCTAACATTTCATTATATTGACTTCCCAACCATGTATTCTCATTCCATTCCAATTCAGGCCGATATAGATAGACTTTTCATATATTGCTGATTGGATAAAAAACGTCTAGTCGACCGAATCAGTTCTATGTAGAGTTTTGATGAATAGTTTTGACTCTATACGTGGAACATCATAAAAATTGTATTTGTGGAGATTTTGTAAATATTCCTTCTATCTGTCACTGAAGAATTCTCTTTAAATAGCGTTTTTTATGGATGAATGTTTCCATATCTGGTACATACAACCGATTCACCACACTCCAACAGAAAATTATCTACATCTGTGGTTCGATTATCTTGTATTTAAAAAAAATCGGAGGTCAAGTTGATTCAGTTTGTGTTTTTCTTTCTGTATTCGTGAATCCTCTTTTTCCTATCTACATGACGTTCTTTTTTCCTTTGCATCGTTTTAGGCTTGACTGCGAATTTGTACAACCAGGCAATTATTTATCAACAATAAATAAGGAAATTGAAAAATTTGATGAATTATGGGCGTTGAGTCGTTCTCTTTGTACTTCTGATACGAATCAGGAAGATGATGATGACAATAATATTCACTATCAGAATGTTGATTTTCAACAGGATAATTTGTATTCTGCACCAATGAATAATAATAATTTCTTTAGTTATGATACAACTATAAAAAGTCCGAAATTAGTTAACTGTTTTTCTTGTAAATGCAAAAAACAGTCATCCAATTATCAACAATGCTCAACTACATTCTGTTACCAATTGTTTACACTTAGTTGGCGATCATATTTAAGTATGAAAAGGTATGTACCACCATATGCAATCACAATCCTTTCTTTTTTTTCTGAAATAATCCTACTGTGATGTCGGCTACTTATATTGACATAAGTAGTATATGATGTTAGTCTGGTAGCAGAGAGACAACAGGATCAAACAGTAAAGAATGGAACAGGATGCAATTTGTATGAAAATGCAGGAACAATGAAGTCTGGGTCATTTTGAGACAATTGGTGGACATTTTGCAAACTAAGCATTTACTTTATGATTTGTTAGATTTTATTAACAAGTCCTGTAATTTTGTGTTAAGTGCTCGTGTTCGTGTTCACTACACTATCAGTGTTTTTTCAAAAAAACTACCAACAAATTCTACTAACAAGTATGTTTCCACACGGTTCAAAGTCTAATTTTCATTGTACCGGTTAAAATAAGTATACCGTTGTTTATCAAAACTTCTAATTTATTATACAGTTGGGAAACTAATAAGATATGTATTTAAAAATGGTACAAATTAAGAGATGGAAATTATTTAGTATTTGATAATCTCATAATATATTTTTCCATATTAAGTGCAGTTTTCAAGTTAAATAGAACTTGTTAAATAATAGAGGACATTCATTTGATGTGTATGTATAAACAGATCACTTGAAACGTTTAAAGGATAGATCGTACATACTTTACGCTATGGCTTGTTATTGTACCAGGTTACTCAAACCTATATGATGGAATTTAGATTCTCTAAATTTCATTGACTCAAAGATCCACTATCACTTGTGACTTACAAAAAGCAATCTAAAATAAACTGATTAGACTTCATGATATTGCAAATGTTAGCAGCTGGAAACGTCATATGGTGTAATTATAATTTAGTCCTAGGTTATTGTCATGGAGATCCTAAGGTAATTTCAAAAATGTTAATGCTAGACTGAAGTTACTAATTAAATCACTCTATAAGAGTGCAGGCACCAAATCTTAACCGAATTGGTATAAACCAATAAAAATTACTGTCAGCAAAATAACTTAATTCTTTTATTGAATTTAATCTCTACTAAATGCATAAGATCAAGGTAAAATAGTGATTGTGAATTACTCATCAAAGAAAAATAGTTCGAAGTCCAAAATGTAAACCATTTGATGCCAACTCTAATCTAAAGAGTAAACGCTCATTTCCAGTCCTGGGTTCTATCCCCAACAGACTCGTTGGTACTTCTTCTTAAAGAGTCTCATACTAAGCAAAAATTACTGTCTATTCTATATTTTTTTAATGATACTCTGACTAAATACAATCAATAAATTCTTATTTTATTTCGAAGCTTTGTATGTTCCTAACTTAGCTGGTAATAAAGTCATCTACTTTTCTTTTGTATTAAACAGTTGATTTAAAATCTCACTTATTTTGACTTCAGTATTCTGCTGAGAATGATCAATTCACCGAAATATTGGTGTGTTATTTGTAAATAAGATTAACCTTTTCGCAACAGAAACTAGAAATACTGATTAGAATTAAATTGTACAACTTTGCTATTCATAATAACTTTTTCTATCAACATGAACTTATTACTTAACAGCTTTAATGGATGCCTGCTCAGTGGTTTCTTCTGGTTCCTTACAACTCATTGAAGCCCGTCGGTCTACTCCGGGTAACCGTGAGTTTGACCATAAACGAAGGATGTTACGTAAGGAAATTGGACAAAGCTTGCGTAAGGACCGAGAAGCCTGGTGGTCGATGCGTGCTAATGAGCTGGAAGCAGCAGCTGCATCTGGTAACTATCGGAAGCTCTTCCAACTCATCCGAGCCACTGGCAGCAAGAAGTCTGGTGTGAGTGAAACAATCTGCGAGGATGATGGGATGCCAATCACTAACATCCATCGACGTCTTGGACGATGGGCAGAATTTTTCGAAGGGCAGTTCAACTGGCCTGCTGCTCCGGCAACATCGGTCAGACTGTCCTGCCCTCCATGGCCGGTGACGACTGATCCACCAAATGAGGAGGAAGTCCGCAAGGAACTCCAACTCTTGAAGCGTTACAAATCACCTGGCCCAGATGACTTACCTCCGGCTCTTTTTAAAGATGGTGGTGACTTTTTGACTAAGGAATTGACGACGTTGTTTACAAAGGTTTGGGAACTAGAGAGTGTACCAACGTCATGGAATGAGTCGATAGTTGTCCCTATCTTTAAAAAGGGTTCACGTCGTTCTTGTAACAACTATCGGGGGATAAGTTTACTTCCGATTGCGTCCAAGCTATTGGCTTCCGTCATTCTTCGTAGGTTGTTCAAAACCCGAGAAAGATTGACTCGCGAGGAGCAGGCTGGGTTTCGTTCTGGTCGAGGATGTATTGATCATATCTTCACCCTCCGCCAAATGTTAGAACACCGCCATACTTTTCAAAGGCCAACAATCGTAGTGTTTCTTGACATCAGTGCTGCCTTCGATTCGTTGGATAGGACTGTTCTCTGGGATTGTCTAATGAAGAAGGGTGTGCCTGAGAAGTTTGTTAACATCCTAAAGGCCTGGGGTCCGAGAGATGGTGCTACACAGTGGCTAGAGACGTTATCAGATATGGCTCAGAATAGAAGCCAGTGGAGATCCTGCTGTAACCTTCTTTTACTTTCTTCATAAAAAGTGGTTGTGTCTCCTTTACCTGAAAGATTTCTTCTGATTGTACCTCTTCGTCATTACTCTCTTTTTCTTTTGCGTTCCTTAGTTTTTTTTCTTTTTACTTCTCTTCGAATTCCCATTGTTTTGTGTGGCGCATATATATTGGCGCTCTCTTGTACCAATATTTATGTGTTTAAATAAATAAATGAAACAATCTATTGTAAGAATTCATTACAATTTTGTCCCATTGCTTCTCATCAAAATATTCTTAATTGAACATATGTATGTTTATAAATGACGAACTTTAGAGATCGACTTTAAAGTTAATCAAGATTAACGGTTTGCCCGTTTGTTTTATCATTAACATTCTAATTTTCTTCATTCTTTTTCTTGTTTTTACTCTACTACCGTTGCAATACAGATCAGGCAAAACAATACTGGCACATTTTGTCATACAACTTGTAATAGCCTTATTTTTGGGCATTATCTATTTAAACATGAACAAATGGAGCGGATCTGGAATTCAAAATCGTGTGGGCTTATTTTTTATCACTTGTTTACATTTATTATTTATTAGCGGGACATTATTAGAAGTGTTTTTAAAAGATCGTTTGATATTTATGTAAGTTTATCTTGATGAGTTTGATATTGACTATCGTTAATATCTGATACACTGAATGATTTCAATTGATTTTGTCTCAATTCAATATAAATTTTTGAACACAACAGTACATAAATACCTTCTTGCGACGTTATCCGTCTTATAATGTACAATAAATGTGCAGTATCTAGCGTTTTTCCTGCTCGTTTAGTGTGTGAATACTGCATATAAGAGTGTAAATGAGCTTCAGATTCCCTTTCGAAATTCTGAAGCTATCAACATCTGTTAGTCATGAATACGTTAGTTTAGCTCATCCTAATATGTCACTTGAAAACAAATAAAATTGAATTTAAGGTTTAAAATAAAATTCTTAGTGGTAATTACACATTTAGTAAACCTTCACTCACAAAATGAGTTCGAAGTACTCCAAAACGCCTTGATATAGCGCATATATTGAACAATCAAAACCTGATAAATAACCTCTCCTCTATAATTTGGTATTTAGATTTCTTTGAGATCGTGAAACAATCAATATTAGACCACCACTAAAATCCTGGAATCACTAGACGGGCGTGTCGTCCCAATGTGTGACTCCCCAGTTGTGCGCATCTGCGATCCCATGCGCGAACTCTTAAACTCCAGACCTTTAAGTCGGCATTCAACTCTGTTGATGTCTAACTTCAATTGATCCATGATATTGCGCAACCCTTCATTGTTTTAAGTGGATAACTGTCCACACCCAACACGGATTGGACTCCATTGTTCATGGCTTCCTACTAGAACTCTGAAAATTAGCTCTCAAAGCTAGTCACTAGTGAGCACATGATAATTATCAGTATAGGATTGTGGAGATTTTTCAGGAGTTTTTTTGATATCATGAACCGACCAATGTTAGACCACCATTGAAAACCTAGAAACGTTGAACGGCAAGAGTCCGTAGATCTTGGGTTCTAGTCCTGCGTACGTGATTGCGTATGCGCAATGTTGAGGAGCCCCAATATGAAATGAAATGGCCGTCCAATGCTTCCAGGTTTTTAATGGTGTCCTAATATATAAATTGTTGTTCCTCCAGAGCACTCAATCTGAGATATCTTAAAAAATGATTTATTCCAATTAGTTGAATGAAAAAAACTGCCCAATAAGATTATTCAAACTATAAGAATAAGAAATTAAATCGATAATAGAAAAATATCTACCTGAACGATGAATTGCCTAAAATCATATCTCTTTTTAAATGTACCTGCTAAATAACATTACAGTTATTACAATAGATTACAAATAATTATTTCATTGATTATTGTTTATTTGTTTTCTCTCCAATAATTAGACATGAGACATCAACTGGATTTTATCGTATTTCAGCATATTTTCTTTCTAAAATTTTATCGGATGTTTTACCAATAAAAGTGATACCAGCTTTTTTGTGTTTATCTATAACATATTATTTAACTGGTCTTCGATATGAATTATATCCATTTTTATTATGGCAACTCACTATTGGATTGCTAACATTTTGTGCATCAGCGATTACATTTGCTGTCAGTGCAATGGTAAATGATCGACGAATCGGATCAATATTATTATCTATGTTTTTTGTTCTAATGATGGTATGTGTAGTAAATTTTGTTAGATATAAATTTTTGTGGAATAACATGTTGTTTTTTTTTCTTTGGTGATTGTGTTTTACAAGTCGATTAGTTTTCTTAGTTGCTGTTTTTTTTGAAAAAAAACTTATAGTTTGTATAATCAAAAGAGAAACAGACGAACTTTTCGATTAGATAACTATTTCATCATCATTACCAATGACAATATTTTTATATTCAATATTGATGAATAATAACGTTTTGAAACCATTTTCAAAGTGTATGTAGATGTCATCTTGGGGACAGTAGAATTTAATAGTCTGCCGAATGGTTTAGACGACCTATTTCTCAACTATACAAATATTGCAAATAACTTTCTTGTTTTAAATGTATTTGAACTGAATAGATATGAATGCTAAGTGTATGTACTCAGGTATTGTTATAAAAGGTTGGTAAATGTTTGAAATGCCGGATACTATTAGTAACAACGTACTGTGGGAGAGAACAAACCAGATCCCAGCGGAGGAAGAAATCAGGAAGAAGCGCTGAAAGTGGATAGGACACACATTGAGGAAAGCACCCAAATTCGTCACAAGACAAGCCCTCACATGGAATTCTCAAGGTGAAAGGAAAAGAGGAAGACCAAAGAACACAATACGCCGAGAAATTGAAATAGACATGAAAAAATGAACAAGAATTGGTTGGAACTAGAAAAGAAGGCTCAGGACAGAGTGGGTTGGAGAATGCTGGTCGGCGGCCTATGCTCCATTGGGAGTAACAGGCTTAAGTAAGTAAGTAAATGTTTGAAATGGTCAGTAGTGGGAAACTCAAACAGAAATATTGGATTTATTGAGATATTTTCCGTCTTGTTTATCCTTTGAAAAATGAGGGACGAATATAGTGAAATCTATTCACCTAATTTATGATATATGCAATGAAATAGTTGTAACAACTGACCTGAACAAAAATATCCCCTGATTGAATTTGGGTGGTCATATATTGGCTATTGAAAAATAATTATAAAAGATATTTTCGACTAATTACAAGTTAAATAGGAATTTTCTTTACAATATTGAACAATTGGTACTGGGGAATCATTAATGTAACCAAGTGTATGGTACTTAATAAAATTATTTATGGTTGTTTTATACAATAAATCAACTAGTTGAAACTACAAACTATTGAGTAACAGCTCCGTTTATCTTTTTAATAGGCTCAAATTCTCAGTATTTGCTTGTTAATTTAATGAATGTAACTAATTGTTGATCGAATTGTATCTCTCTGAAATCTAGTTATTACTCATATTGTACACTATTTTACTTTATCTCTCAGCACTTTTATGCAGTTACTGTTCTTACTCAGAATAATGCCAAACTATCGTAATATTATCTCTTATCACCACACAATTTCATGAAGTTTGTCTTATTTTAACTTTTCCTTACAAAATACGTTTTGTTTATTTATTTTTTAGGTAACGAGTGGTTATTTAGTAAACATATCAACTTTATGGAAATGGCTTCAATTATTTCGTTATATTTCAATACTACGTTATGCTATAAACATATTAACAATAAATGAATTATTTGATATGACATTTTGTTCTGAAACAACATTACCTTATTCAAAATTATCGTCTGTAGATTTTAATCGCATTAATGCAAGTGATTTGCCTTATTCAAATGCAACATCATTATTGATAAATGAATGGAAAAACACTGAGTACTTTCAAATTGGAATTGGAAAAATTCAAAATTTAGAATCTATATGGTAATTAGTTCTATCTTATTTTCTTAAATCATTACAATGTAATATAACTATATTTCTAATACATAATCTAATACTCCTTTTAATCGAATTCAGTTGGTTGTGTATATATAATAAAAGAACAATGAATAAAAAACAGATTCCTAATAAATGAGTGATAACTATGGTTACCTAGTTGACGTAACACTAAAGTTAACGTCATGAGCGAATATCAGTCTCATTTTTTTTTACTTATAAAGTACAATAGAGATAATGTAGTTGACAAACGTTACCATTGAGATTAGAGGTCTATCACTTTCTGTATACAAAGGTCAGGTTGAAAGCGCGTAATGAAAATGGTCTCTGAAAAGCGGAGTAAGGTGGCATATGCTACTTGTTGATCATTTGAAACGCATTTGCGGCATCCACGTTGCGTTCACTATGTTTAGTGATCGCACTTGTGAATCCTGTACTTCCTTTCAGAAACAACTTATGGGGAATGTGTTCGGAAAACCCTGTAGACCCCCCGTTCTTTCGTTGTGTACTTGCTTCCGTAAGTACACGTAAATTCTTAAACACCTTTGAGTATATATTTTTATATATGTTCTACATTTCAACTGTCAATCTCAGACTATCGAAACACGAGTTTGTAATAAAGGTCTACAATCTTGGTGCAATTGCGTTCTGTAACCTGAATGATTTGATTCTGAAGCTTTCACGGTCTTTCCTGATATTGTCATCCCCACAAAAGCTCAAATAGAAGTGGTTCATCAGAATTTCTCCATAGGTGACAAACAGCTTGTGGTGGTTGGTGAGATCACTACCTGTAAGAACGAGTCCCCCATCTATTTTCAAAATAGTCTCATGGATATTATAATAATCATTAGACGAAACATTCCGAATGGTTAGCGACGATATCTCAAGGTTGGCTAGGTTGTTTATGATAGTTATCATGAATAACAGTTGTCTATCAGGAACGGCTTGTAGTAAGATATCGACCCAGATTTCCTACCTACAGATATTTCCTCGAAGATAGGAAATCAACTGTAGATTGTACGGTACAATGATTTAACTATACACACTGATCACTCCAATATAAAATGTGTAAACTGTTTCGAAATGCATCAACCTATTAACCTGAAATGCAGTGTTTTTCCAATAGAACTGAAAACTATCAAAACAGTGAAACTTCCTATGTTTGTATACTTTTTAGTAGATAATCTTCAACACATTTACACCTGTACTTCATGTGGTTATGTGCTGGTTCAACACTTAAAAGATATTGATTTAATTAAAACATCTGTTATTATTCTCACGTTTTTTATTTATTTTCACTTAATTATACAGCATTAGCGGTGTACAGTATTTAGAATCGCAAGCAATTGAATATCGATCAAAATGGGCAGTTTGGCTAAATGAATTGGGTATATTTGTGATTGCAATTTTAGCCTTGTGTGTAGCTTATATTCATTTAAGACTAATTAAACGATATAGATAGAAGACAATAGAATCAATCAATATAATATTTATATATATTTAGTATTAGAATAATTTATACTAATTATTTTTCTAAAAACATTTTCTTTAATAATGTAACTAATCCCCTTCGTAAAATTAAAACTGTCTTTCATATAACCATTTTGTTTTTTCTTCGATTAACATATATATACTTTAAAAGCCATTAATTGGTCTGTGCTAATCCAATTGTTTATTACTAGTAGCATTCAGGAACATGAGCATAATGTTTATTTTAATTGTTGAAAAATGACCAATAATAATGCATGTATTTTTTTATCGGTTTCAGTTTTTGTTTTTCTATTTTCTACTTTACTATATTGTTTACTTTTTTTCTCGTTTCCTGTACATAATATGTTTATTTTTATAATAGTGCTGAATTTTATTTTTTTTTCTATATTCAATAATTACTTTCTGTACAACGAACATTTATATATGAGAAATCTAGACATTATACCTCTTATGTTGTTTGATGACAGCTGGTAGCGTACATATTCTAAAGCATTTTAATAACTAGATGTAAAGTTCGGGTCATAAAGACTAGACAAAATTGGACGATGAAGAGTTCATGAGTTGAACACCCTAGTTACCTTATTTAGCCAAGTAATCGTGCCATTTTTAGTTTATTCGTAACGAAACATTCACATAGATAGATATAGGTGGTTGGAGTTTGTCAAATCACATAAACTGTAATCTAAGACATTTACAATAACGTACCTACCAAAGGTTGCCTATCAGTAAGTTGCTGTTTTTTCTGCATATCATAAAATAATTATTTAGTTGGTAACCCTTTCCGCTACATCATTCAATAGATTGCGGATTTTAGGACCTGGTCACCACAATAACAATCCGTCGAGCAAATAAGTGTCGAAATACCCCATAATTTTGTTATTGAAGACAAAATACTTTTTAAGCAGCGGATGCAACGGAATTTCGCGGACAATCCATTAAGCTGAAACAGTCCGAGATTAAACTTCACCTCGCTTCTGATACTATTCATAGTAAGGTATTTGTCGTCTTGACTTTGTTCACTGCTGTGTTCTACGCGGATTCAAACTTGTATTTTATTTTACATTGATTTTATTTGTGATAATACAACTAAGATGATCTGATAAGTACCTAGGTAAGATAGAAATCGATGGTTACTAACCTCAGGACTCATGAAACTGCTTCTGCGAGTATGAACATTCATGAGTCCTACGGATTGAGTTGCATTAAACTAGTTAACTTATGAATCTTAACAGCTCGACTACACTATACAGCATCTTGCTTCGGCTCGGGTGCTCCGCCATATAAAAGCCCTCAAAAAATGTATTTGTGGAATATTTAGTAATATTTCATTTTCGACCAAAACCGTTCTGGAATTCCATGCAATATTGTGTCGAATATTAAAAAGTACAGAGAATAAAAGTCAAGGTAAAAAGTATAGAAAGACTTCTCAGTATTTCGTAAATAGTATAGAGAAAGAGTAGAAGATTGAAAGATTTACGGTTAGATTTCATGTGGGATTTAGTCAAACTAAGTCAAGATTACAAAGAATAAGTTATTGCACTTTGATTGTTACAATACATGATTTCTTCAGGTAGGTTTTTGAAGGACTCCACAATTTGAGTAAGTGAGGGACGATCTTGAGGATTAGCGGACAGCATTGCTTTCATTAACTTTATCAATTCTGGTGGAACTCTGAAAAATTAAATAAAGGAGAGTAAAAAAGAATGTTTTATTGAGTGGTATACCGTACAGAACAGAACAGTCGTAACAACGTTAATATTGCATTGAGTTACCTTAAAAAACTTGGTCCAAGAACAAGGCGATAGCTGATGATGTCAGATTAAATTAGAGGGCCTAATTTCTATTGAGGGGCGAATATTATGTTAGACTGGTTCTTAGAGCTGATTAAACTTCATCGACCAGGTTTTAACGTGGGCATTAGATAAGCAACTTGAAATCGCATGTAAAACAAAGATATAATTTATTCATATCGCTACTCTAATAATTTTGTATCCTAAAATCGGATCAAAAGGTGATTAGCCATCGCAAAATCACGATAATATTTTGATAACTATAAAATGTCTTTAAAAAACACTTACTTTGAACACGAATCTATTGGGAAATATATATTAGCTGAACAAGCAGCAAGAGCAACACTATCACCCCGCGCATGAACGAAATCCATTGGGGATTTGAAAGAAATCAGAGCATAAAAGAGACATCCTAGGGACTAAAATAAGTATTCAGCCATAAAAAGCCGTAAGAAAGTGCTTGCCCAAACATCAGCTTTCTCGGTTATGGTTTCGTAAGTTATTGGATTAAACAACTCTGGAGCCCGATAAGTAAGTGAACAGTTTTCCTCAGCAAACTCCTTGAAAAACGAGATCTAGTAACAAAATGTTACCTTCCATTTTTCTGCATCTCTAATGCTTTCAATAGGAAGAATGGAGGGAGTGGCAGAGCCAAAATCCATTAAAACTGGTCTCATTTCTTCAAACAAAAGAACATTCCCAGGCTTTATATCTCTATAGAGAAATATGTCTACAAGTATAATTGTCTTACCGATGAGACATTGGAATATCAAAAGAAAGAAGGGCAATAAGGCCATCGCAAATACCAATCATCATGGTCTTTATAAGGTACAGGGGGAACATAACGTTACGTGCAGATCTATGGTCAATTTCACGTTGCAACGTACCTCGCTAAAATACTTCATTTGACATACATTAAAACATACCTTGCTATAAGATAACACCAAAAGAACTTCTGAAATAGCTCCTTGTTTACGACTAGAGACATGTTGTAGGCCACTCGCGATACAGGAAAGCAAGTTGGGATGATCAGGGAGATTCAATTGGAAATTAGCTTCTTTTAAAGCCTTACTTTCATCATCCTTTGAATGGCATAGGATACGTTTTAAAGCGAATGATCTTTTAGACACTTTGTCAAAAACGAGATCTATTTGGCTAAATCCACTGAAAGCTTCCATTATTAGAGAACCTTATAAACATACCCAGTATCTAACTTATCGCGCACGTAAAACGTTTTCCAGTGTCCTGATGCATCCTTTACTCGAACAACTTCATTACACGGGTCTGTACAACCCACAAGACAAAAGTTTCTCAGAACCATACATTCAAGTGAGATTCGTCACTAAAATGAGGATTGATATTGAAGATATACTGGTGGTCTGAAACAAATATCTACAGAGTAAGACCTACTTAAGCTCCAACAGACACATACAATTAACAAACGACATCCACACATAATGTGACTAATTGGCGTTAGTAACAAATTAGCAATAAAGCCGTTTGCTACTTAAGTAGCATACAGACGGTAATAGTTGGATGCAGAGTAGAGATGCATTACCAGCAGATCCAACTCCATTCGAAGTGATCAGTACTATTTGTAAAGTTAGTGTACTAAGTATGAACAATTAATGAGACTACAGATACATAAGTGAACGAAAATATATAAGCATGATTGGCAAGGTCATAAATAAAACCGGCACATGTTATCAGAAGCTGTCTGAATTCCTGAACTTTCAATTTTACTAAAAACTGTAAACAAGCGTAAGAAATGCCGCTATGTAATAACCAGTCTGTTGTATTTAATGGAGAAATCTGAATAATGTATTATGAGTCAAGATTTCACGTCATATGTACAGCAAAAAGTAAAACCGATGTTTGGAGGAGTGTATATTAATGAATGCAATGTCTTCTAGTTAATCAATTAAGCAAATACCCCGTATGATTCACAAATAACTTAATCACATAACGCACACTTTGAAGATTCGCCGCAACCCTCAATGTCCAATCACGTTCAAATGGTTCAACTGGTTCAAATAGTTGTGGACCGAATAAAAGAAGCTTTCGCTTAATAGGCTTCCGTGTCTAGTAGCAGGTGATCACCGAACCCTCCAGGCAAGAACCTAGGTATGTTAACAATAAAAGAGGAAAACAAATTGGTAAATCATAGTGTGATGCTGTCCTTGGTCCTTAAGAATAGGTCAAGTTGCCTCTTGAAGGACTCCTGAGAAGTCGCTTGGACTAGCTCGGTCGGCAGCGAATTTCAGCTTTTGACAACTCTTAGGGAGTAGAAGTTATGTCTACATTCCGTTTTGCTATGTTGTGTCTCCAGTTTCTGGGTGTTACCCCTTAGGTTAGTGTTGGAACTAAGCTTTATTTGTTGTTTTAGGGGATGTCCAGAAGTGTTAAGAATACTATAAGCCATTAATAAATCGCCTCTAAGACGCTTATACTCTGATGGGTAAAGGTCTACTGAATGGAGGCTTTCTTCGTAAGGTTTAGATTTGAGTCCTCGAACTGATTTCGTGGCTCGCCGTTGGATACGCTCCAAGGTGACCTTGTCCTTTTGGAGTGAGGAGGAGTACTATGTTTCTGTACTCTAAATGGAAACGGATGAAACGATTGAAGATTGTATGGAAAGTTCGTCCGTCAAACTGTCCAAGAATGCGCTTCAACGTTACCAGTGCAAGGTTTGCTCGGAAGGCATTTTTGTAACAGTTACCGTAAGACTTCAAATCATGGGGCATCAGGACTCAAATCTTTTTCGACGTGGGATACTACTAGAGAGGAGTTTCCTAAGTTGTAAATGTAGTTTGCGACATGTCGCAGATGGACTACTACACTTAGAAGTGTTAAAGGTAAGTCCGTTATAATCTGCCCAACTTTGAAGTCGAGTCAGATCCTCCTGAAGTGCCTGTATATCGTCTTGGTTGCGTATCTCTCTCGAAAGTTTCACGTCGTCGGCAAAAAGTTATAAGTCTGACGTTACCTGTCGAGGAAGATCATTTATGTAGATCAAGAAGAGAAGAGGCCCTAGTACTGAGCCCTGGGGGAACCCCACTAGGACATTCAAATGCGTTAAACGAATCTGGTTGAAATAGAAGCTTTCATTTAACGAGCTTCCTTATCTAGTAGCAGTGGATCACCGATGCCTCAAAGTAGATACCTAAGTAAACTTAATCATAAAAGAAATTGAAGTTTATAGATAGTATGTGTTTACGTAGACCTTCGCATTTAATGGACTCCATAAATTTTGAGGGTATTGAGGTAAGTTGTACCGGTCTTCAGCTTGAAAGCTTGGTGCGTTGACCTCCTCCAAAAATTCGTGTTTAATTAACCGGCCTTCAACTTTCTGACACCGCGAATCTGCTCAGCGAATGTGAAAACATCAAGCTAAGCGGTCTTGGTAAATTTGAAGCCGCTTCCTCAGTACAGCAGAACAAACTATAATCAGACCAGGCCGAGCGTCTTTGTTTGAGTACTACAGTTCCAGACACACGAAGTCAATGCCCAGAATAACTGAGAGTCCTACCGAGTCCTACTGGTTTAGCTCTCAACGACGTACTTAGAAAGCGATCGTCGAAATGTTTGAAAATACTGTTCTTCAAGAAGGTCATTAGCGCCATGTTTGTGGAGTTATTATTTAATGTGTTCTTGCATTACTCAAACTCTTTTTGTTGTAAAGTTACAAAAGTACCATCTTCGCTACGAAGAATATATCCTCAGCCTTGTAGTGACCTACTTGTATGAAAAGAACACGATTGGAATAATGGAAACTATTATAATAACAAATCGTACCAGTAATTGTTTTACTGTACCTGTTTGTTTAAGTGTACTGAAAACGCAAATTCTTTCGTTGTCTGTGACCTTGCACGAACTTGTGTACGCTCACTAGTCTCGTTTGTAAACCTTGGGATGATTTCTGTTCCACGAGACCTAACTTAGAAACTGGCACATAGTCTTCCTATAGTGGTGATTACAGTCAATCGCGACTCGACTCCTACTACAGCCTTACATTCGGCAGATTGTTTTTTCTCAAACTTTCACTCAAATTAACAGCTAACTGACGATGTGTTTCAGCTAGCTTTAAGGTGTTTACGTATTTCACATTATGAGGCTACTTTCGACATGTTTAAATCATTTACACTAGGTATCTTTTTATCTTTTTTACCCATTCGGAAATTATTAAACTTTTCTCACTTTGACTTCAGTTCAAATGACAACTCATATTTTAACATGGTCACGAAGAACAAATGGAAGTAACCTGGCTGCCATCAAACAATCACCTGTGTTATGTAGTGTGACAAATCCAAAGATAGACTTCACGAAGCGTGCACAAATCTGACAGCAACTTCTGACAAAAGTCTTAGCAAGTCAGATAAACATATAGTGTACGAAATATTAACACTAGTGATACGATGCTGAAGATCATCAACCTTCTGATACGTCTGACGAAAAAACTGTCAACTGTTCGGAAACGGATAAGTCAAAGAATAACCTACATTGAGATTAAGATGACAACCTCCAACAACTTTAGTGTAAATGAATCATTTATCAAAACTAGTGAAGTTGTGTTGAAACTCAACGCTGAAATTACATTTACTATGTAAGAATCCCTTAGTAAACATCTCACCCTACAGCATAGCAACTGTGGTCCCCAAGGGTCTTAAGTTGAGACACTGGCTCATATCAATGGGCTAGAAAGAATCTAAGGTCACCGTCGGAAAAGTTTAACGGCTCAGGCATTGCAAGAAAATAATTCAATGCATCGACCATTCAATCCACTATTAAGGTTGACCACGTTAAAAATTTTGGGTTCACTCAAAGCCGCCGATCGTTTTGTTTCAGTCACTTTGAACGGCCTGATACGAGGCGGCCATTTTGCGTTCCGAATGCTGTGTGGTCGGTATCTGTTAGGTTGCGTGGATTTCAGGTGTTCTTAAATTTAAGTAGTGGGATCACGAAATGATTGTCTCGTAGCGTACATGTTGACTCGATTTTTGCTTCGTAATGTGGTCTGGGATAGCAGCTGATGAAGTAAAACTCACTGCCTTTAATTCAAAATTAATAAGGTCCATAAAACAGCATTCTAAGTATAACTTAACAGTTCTAGACACGCAAACGTTGTGTGAACTGACGTTTTACGTAAACACTACGTCGAGATGTCAAATAATGGGTGAGTTTTAAATTTTAATAGTAGTATCTGCAATTAGAAAATTATTATTGCGGTGGATGTCTTTTTTTCACAATCACTCAGTTGTGTTTGTAGGACTTCATCTTCAAGAGAAATTTCAGTCGACGTAAGAGAGGCGTTTCAGCGTACAAAGCTGAAAAAATATTTCGGATGCTGAACTGAATTTAATAGTGTGGTAAATGAATTTCAAAAAGTAAGAACAAAGTTTTATCCTTTTTTAGACTAAAAATTCTCATAAAATTCATGCCGAAAAAAATTACTGGGGGATATGAGATTTAAATGCTATTTTGTGGTGCTTCATTGAACCTTTAGTTATAAGCGTAAAGTAAAAGGTTTAACAGTGAATCAAAAACTGTGAGAACTTTAGGTAGTATGTAACGTCTATGGTCTGGGTTTATGAGCTGCCAAGTAAGGTTCAGTGCAACTTTGAATGGTAAAGAATATGTAGTAAAATCACTCAAATGCTTTACAATCATCTCTTTAGTGGCTCATGGATGGTTTGTGATCCATGAACCAGAAGATAAAAACAGCGATGCTGAAATCAACAACGGCATATGAAGTGGTAGAAAGTATTAAGATTCAGGCATGTAAGAAGGTCACTGCTACTGACGCAAATGCTGAGAATGCACAATTCTCAACAGGCGTGTATAAATATTGAGATTGTGGAGAAGATTTGTGGCTCAGGTGGATGATTTTGATGGAGTTTTGTTCTATGTGCTAGACTGTTTGGTCGTGAAGTTTTCATCGTTATTCTGAATGATATAATCAGCACAACCGTCAGGTAGAAGTGAAGTGTTCGACTTTCTCCACATGTGGTTCACAGCACGTCATTTAGACCTCGATGTTCATTGGATCTTGTTGACCTTAAACCGGCCATTGTTTACCTCTTTGTTTTGGCTGTATCTCTCGTTGGTTTGATTTTTGGTCCTATCTTTGACCTGATTAATAGTGAATTTAGCTTGCTTGAGTTTAGATTGTTACAAACAACCACGTTAATTTGACTTTGTAGAATTAGGGTATACTTCGTTATTAGTACTGCTCTAATAATAGACCTGGTCCTTAAATTGTAAATTTGTCATGATATAACTGACTAATTTATAAGATCTTACATGGAAGTCACATCATCGCCTACACCAACTGATTGTATCGTAACAATCACCAATACATGATGGAGAACAAGCTTAAGCTAGAGATAGGACAATATATTTAATATGAATAAAAGATATAAGGTGACATTGAGCAGGGACCACGCTTGCAAGGCTGAGCCATGCCATCCGGTCAACTTGAATTAATCCAATTCCTTGTACCCGCCTTCTCAATCGTTGGGTATTTCTCCACGTTAAATATTGAACATCTATTTTCTCAAATATCTCGTGTTCAGCATTGAGGATTTTGTGGGTAAGGCCCAATGCCACTACACCACTCTCCCACCAGAATCAACGTGATGTTGGTTCGATACCGAATTGGATGGGGTTGTCGCCCGCCGGAGATTACGATGAATAATAAGTATCCTCCGAGTATTGATAAGCTGAAATTGAATCAAAAAGCAGGCAGCAACTGATCAGGAAATACACGTAATAAAGCATCTGTTTTAACGCTTAACACGCTTAAAACGAAAATTTGGTGAAAGGATATTTTAACAAGTTACATTAAAATGCATTGTAATAACATTTGGTTAACGGCTCAAGTTGTAGGCCGTATAAATAATTTTAAAATGTCTGGTTTTATTCTAAGCACCCCAAAAATATAAATCCACGTGAAGATTATATAAGACTTTAATGAGGTGGGAGAAAAAAAACTAAGAGTTCTTGTACAGATATTTCAATAAATCACCGTAAGATATGTAGTAATAGCCGTACGTTAATAAAATTTCGTGTTCAGAAATTAAAAACAATCAGTATTGTAGAAATGTTAATACCGGCATTAGTTTTGGTTTGAATGATGAAATCAAACCGGTAATGCCGGTAACCTGTCCATATGAGCTGATTTCCAATTGTATCTGTATTAGTACGCTGACTTATAGAACAAAAGTATTACCGTGGAGAAGAATTCAAACTAGTGTTTCAGTTAGTTTGATACGGTTTACTTAGTTATGGGGAGATTTCTTCGACCTCATTTTTCCTTGACCGTGATAGAATTTAGTAATACTACTAATGCATATGAATGGTTATCAAAAAATTTTAAATGCGTGAAAAGTTATAATTATGTGAATTTAGGATGAATAGCTAAGATCAAATCGTTAAACGTGAGTGTATTCGTGAAAGACATGCTCTAGACCCAATATTCTGCTTTACCAGAGATCATTTATTTATATTTATTTCTACCGGCTGATGGTTCATACAAGTTAGTCGCAAGTATGCAGTTTAGCATAAGGCGGAATACGATTTAATTGATATAGCGATTATAAGTCGTAGAAATCGACTAAGCCTATGTTCCACAACTATGGGTGATGTAGTGCTGCAAGATATCTTCGGCTAAATGAGTCTTTACAAGATGAATAACAGCGAATGATGCTCATGTGATTATCAGGAAGAACATAAGTTGTAACCAAGGGGAGTACACTCCCAACTAATGCCTGTGATAATGGCTTGATCCATAGCCAGTTTTGTGGTAAATTCGACAGTGTTTTCAGTTTGCGGATTTGCTTGATTGTTTATACTAATGATTTGCATGCATGATTGTGTCGCTCAACCTCCAATTAGACTGATATGTTTTTAAGGTATTTACTGATTGAACAACCGATAAGGAAACATACTAAAGTCATCTGTAATGGATGAAGATACCGAGAAAACTACACTATTTAATGATAATTACAAGTCAATTTGTTGACCGATTTCGTTAATAGTTACATCAATTTTATCAATCTTATTACGTGAACAGCAACTACGTCGAATTACTAATTAACTGGGATAAAAGATATTTAATAAGCATAAGCATTAGAAAAATCGACGTGTGATGACAAAAGTGCTACTGATAGCTGATAAATAACGTAATCCATAATATTTGATAACATGTGTGCGAGAACCCATAGCCTAGCATTATATACCGCCTCCTATGGTCGTTCAAGTGACGAACAAGAACCTCATGAATCTACATTGATTTACAAATCAAAAAGATCTCATCTTGAACGTTCACCAAGCCTGAAAATAATGCCTAATTTAGTGTTTTAACGTTCGTAGTTACTCCTCGTATTACATATGGAGTGGATTCTCATTCAACTCATGGGATAGGAAATTCGGAGCACAAGGTCCTAATTCAAGCAAACGAAAATTTCAACATACAGCATACGATAATAAGAAATATAGTGCCTGTGAAAGCTAAGGTGTTAATAAAACTAATGACTGTATCTCCCATTGTCTGAGTTTTTCTCGTTTTCTTCTATCGGATGCCTGCCACACAGTCCTAGTGTAAAATTCCGAGTTAGCATGTTATACCCTGTCTTAATAAAAAAGTTAATCCAGCACAAAATTGAGAACATGAGTCTGAATGGTGAGCTTAGGAAAACGACCTCAATATCACGGATTGATTTATCTGTTCTCAATCACAAAGAACCTGACACAAACAAAATGTTGTGCCCTACAAACATAGGTGGATTGAAGTCATCGCCCTCATCATCAATGCTTGCTGGTCAGTAACTCTACCCTCCCTCGTTTTTTGATGTTAGGATTACTTAAGCTTAATTTTCGGATACACATCATACCTTACACAATGCTCTGTTTCACATCCTGTTGGAAAACACTGTTTCTACAAGTGCCATTTTACATGCTTATCAGGCAGTTACAAATTATAGACAGTGGCTAAGGCATTGATGCAATGCTTTATTTAACTATAATACGAAGTATAGGTTGCCAATCAAAGTACAGGCAATAACAAGGGTATAATGCTGGATAGTTGTTTACCGACGTAGGTAGAAGTGAATATAAATATATGAGTTATGGGTAAGGTAACGAGTGGTGAAATAAAATCAATGGTAAATCAATACAGTGAACAGGAGAGTAGAAAGCTGATGAGAAATAGACAAGGAAATCACAATAACTTTGTGCTAATGTTACTTAGTGCTACTCCAACAAGTCGATGGGTAACAGGCTCCATAGATGCAGGGCCACTGGTAGTAGGCAGTTCACTGTGCGGTTCTTTGCGTTTTTAGGATGGTAGTGAGCGTCTCTTAGCGACCGAGTATCGATGGGCTCAGTGAGCCGCCTGTCTAGTTCAAGTTAAAAATTAGGGGGGAAGATGTTTACAGTACAACTGCAAAGTAGGAAAAATAAGGCAATTTGGTTTATACATGGTAAACTCGCTTGGCGAGTTCTTATTCCTAACAAAATTGATTGTAGGAATTCTGCCCAATGTGTGGGATTTGAGCATGACATTAGATTTTAAGCCGAGTTGGAAAAGTCTGACCATCACATTATCCTGGTAATGATGTGTTGCGCGAAATATTCTGTTAAAGCGTAAAAGTTTAAATACGGTGTTGAATAGCTTAGGTTTGAGGTGATCTACTCTATCGGTCGTTATCGTTATAAGTGTGACAAGAATCTAACACAGTTGCGGATGAAAGCGTCTGCCACTATTTAAGCTCAGGGTTCAATTACTGGTAAGAGCACTGTTTGTGTATGTAAATAGACGATTAAAATCTTCCAAACGCGTAAAATAATCTACAAAATCTGGACGAACATGGATGAAACGTTTTATATGAAGTCAAGGTGTCAGACTTTTCGAGGAGAAAGTTTGTAACAGCTTGAGTTGGTTGCTTAAGAGTTGACCTCAAACAAACAATTCTGCCAAAACAGTATAGTTCAAGTATTCATTCACTTCCTTATTTTGTATAGGCGTTATATTTCCTATTATCTTATATTGAATGTTGAGAGGCTATGTTTGTCTGAACAAATAATCCCACGCTCCACTGTGAGTGCGCGAAGAAAAACAAAGACCTATTCACTACTTGTATGGTTTCTTCTATCACTAGCAGGCGTGTTACCTATAGGCACGAAAAGTTTATTGACCTCCGCTTCTGATACACTGGTTAGATATTTATGAGGATGAAGTATTGATATTACTACGACCCTTGCAAACTATCAATTCTCTGTCTTTTAATATGTGACAGAAATGATTTATGTTATGGAGTCTTCGACATATCGTGGTCTGCATGACTACTTGTTATCTATGAAATGTTCACCCCAACAACAGTTCCAGCAATTGCTGCGTGATTCAATATCTAGGTCTATAGCTTTTCAATTATTTATGGATCTGGAATGATAAACGTGAACCCCAAATGTGGATTTTTCATGGTATGACTAATTGATTTGTATAACTGACTAGGAAATTACCAGCTCTCGTTGCATATAAAACAATTCGTTTCAGGAAGCCTGTCAAATATGCTACTCATCTCACTTGTAGACATTAGAACTATCACTTTTTAAGTGCGTGAAAACACTGTAAATACTATAAATGTGCTTGGTATCACTATAATTGTCTTTGTTCTAAGAGACTATTAGGATATTTGTGAAGTAAACTACATCTGAGGTGTATCTACTTGGGGTATATTACAAAAAACTGAATACTAAAATTCGTTAAGTTGCCTTCGTTATTTATATTAAAGACCAGTGGAATTGCCAGTTGAAATATTCATAATTATAACTTTCATTGGTTCTCTTAAAAGATACATATTTCAGCTCCAAAATTATTGAAGCTGGCCACTCTATATTACTTCTCGATTTCTCCTTTTGTTCATTCCTTTCAGTTCATGGGAGATGAAAACTAAGAGCAATTCAGTTGTTCACAATCCAAATAAACTTGAGCCAAATTACATAAAATCTTTTTGTTTATTGAAATCGTTAATACCTATTCAGCAGGTTAAGCTATCGGTGGCGGCAATTCGTAAGTTATAGCTGCTCCCAGTAAATCTAGCTGTCGATACGACGTGAATTTATATGCGATTGCGTGTCTTTCGAAATTTCCGGTAGGAATATTTTGCTTTTCCTTCTGACAAGAATAACGCTCGACTTGGTTTTTAAGTGATTACTGGTCACCTCTGGTGTAACATGTAGACTAGTATTCTTCTAAATCATTTCCTACGTAAAACTACTGCAATAGACTCAGTTTTGTTACTGTTATTGGTAAAACTTTTTCACGCCATAATTTACGTCGTAATAATCCACTGTGGTCTACACACTTTAGTACTACTTACCCCAACCCTAACCGAGGCATTGTGGTACAATATTTTCCAGTGGTTATGAATACCTGCAATTAAAGAATATCGGCTGTATATCGGTAAATTGTGTTAAGTTATTGGGATATACAAATGCTTAGCTAAAGGTAACCAAAGTGGCTAGTGCGAAACTTCAACTTTTACATTGTTTCTACGTTTTTGGTTAAATTCTTATTTATTTGGACACAAATATTGGTACAAGGGTGAAACGAAAGCATATGGCCCACATATTATTATTGAGGTTGTGAAGAGACAGAGAATGCAAAGTGCGTGTAATGAGTAAGAATAAAAATGAAAATGAATTTGGTTTATAAGAGTTAAATAATAGTAATATTAATAATAATTTTGGGAGACAGTTTCTGAGAGACTAATTTATGGACGACCTTTGAGCGAACTTTAATTAACCTTGAGAAGTATTAGCCAACCAGCAAACAGACATTATAAAATAAAAATATTTTATATAAAACCAAGAAAGTAAAGTGGATACACTTATACGTGGTTCAAAAACTTGTCAATGTTAGAAAGCGGTTCGAAAATCGTAATGGATGCATTAGAGGAAATCATCCATACGGCTACAGAATAGTCATCCTCTAGAGCCATGATAAAGTCTCAAAAACTTTTTCAGCCTCGACCACATAGCTTCAATATTGTTTATGTGCACTCCGGTTGTTGAGTGCAGAAAATGCTACTTGTGGATAACGACACGACGCACATAACCAAGCCTATGTAGGAGTCTGTACGTTCTCTAAACATCCGTATATATTGTAGTACCTGGCTGCAGCCACTGTCACTGGTGCTTGTATTATCCAGTTCGCAATAATTGTCGTAATTTGCCTTAGAAATTATATATGGAGTTTTCATCACGAACTGACATCAGCTATAATGCAAGGAATTTATCCAGCCAAATGGATAAAAGGCTTTCGCGTTAAAATCCGAGATCTATTATCTTATACCTGATTGTTTCGTCCACAAATTATAGTCCCGCCGTTTTATTTGTTATAGTCGCTCAATTATCACGCTTTGTACAAAATTCTCTGTGAACCGATCGTACGTTTGCATTAAGCATCGAAGTGGGCGCCGTAACCTTGAAATCTCTAAAACGCCTTTGGTTGGCTCGTCCTTAAATTAGAGTCTCGCTAAAGTAAGAGGAAATTACAGCAGGATCGCCACTGGCTTTTATTCTGAGCCATGGCTGATGACGATTCTAGCCAGTGTTGTACTATATCTAGGGCCCCAGCCAAGGAGTCGCGAAGAGACAACAGAAGCCATTCTGGTACAGCTTTCTTTCATAGCACGACACCATATACTGACCACCTCTGCTTTTTTTCACCAGCCTCAGTGTCAGCAAATAATGCACAACGTGGAATTCTCTGGGACGACATCCGCGAGACACGTTCAAGCCATCGAAGCCAATTTTTGAAGATAGTGACACTAATCGAATTATTGTCGCAGTGCTCAGACACATGATGCCGAACCTCAGCATTAGGAACATGGTGTTGCTACTGAATGTCAGCAATCCTCCAAAGACAACAATGATCAAACACAGAGTGTTTTAGTACCCTCAACTCGGAGAAGCCAGGTTTCACAAGTATGTAGCAAAACTGCTCTCACTGACGCGTTGTAGATACGACCTTTTACAGCCAGACTAACATCACGAAGGCACCAAAGACGGCCCAGATTAGCATAAGCCTCTTTAGCTTTCACTACAAGTGAATTAACCTCATCACTCACTCCGCCGACACCACCAATTAGACACTAGAGGGATCGTTAATTCGTACAATTCAGCACATACCTTCTGCCAAAATACCCATATGATATCTATACTTGAAAACTAATTTCCATCCTATCCAAATATGCCTGATGTTTAGTAGTTGTTGTTCATATTGATTATTATTGGGAAATCTTAATGGGAATACTGAGGGTTCTCGTGATCATTTCATTGGGATTCAATTTGAAACACTACATCTGTATTAGAAAACAGCATTGGATCCATTAAAAGACAATAAACTGAATCTTGCTAATTACTGATGGGATCCAGCCTAAAATGTTTTTTTACTTGCACTACTTCCAGTCGTCTGTTTGTTTCAGGAATCATCTATTACTACTATACATTTAATGGATATATATTTTGTTGTTATCTTTGGTACCAACAGCTTATTTCTTTTTCAGACGAGTAGTTTGCGACCATACCCAATAGTTAAAGCCGTCGATACTAAATTCGGAAAATTTCTCGTCGGCATCTACAACATACTGGTCACTGAATGTTAGATAATGCCGCTAATAAAACTGTCCACCAACCATTGAAAATCACTGGAAAGTTTTAGCAGTAAAACAAGTAGAGAGACCACTGATATGACCAGCACCAAGTATTGCGTCACCAGAAAACAATCGTTACAACTGAGGTTGTTATATTTAACTGAAAAGCGGTATGAAATATGGATAGTCGGACTAACTCAGTTGGTGCCATTAATCTGCAACAACGACTTCAGCGGTATGATCATGCTCTACGATGTCATCTCAACGAACTTCTTGTCGTGAATTGTTTGCTTATATTAGAATTGGATTAAAAGACCGAAGGGTGGTCAGTTTATGACACTTTACCCTGACCGATGGATCGATAGAACTAGGATATATGAGTTCATCTCGGTTCCTTGGCGACGGTAGTAGAGGTGGTGTAGCTTAAAATGTTATCAATTATCTTACAATAGAGGACTAAGGATGATGTTGTAACTACTCATTCCAATTTTTATACAAGTGATACGATCTCACTTGACCAAATCAATTTTTTTTGTAGAGCTGTGTTTTGATAAATACTTCTCATACTCATTTTTGATTGTGCTACACTTATATCCTTTAATTCTCTACAGCATTGTCACTTCGTTTGGATGGTCCATCTTTTTGTTGCCTTGTTTTTCCAGGATTTGTATTTCTTAGCCTTCCAATCAACGGTTTTAGCTGTGTAGAAACTTCAGTAAGCTTGCAATAAACGCTGCTTCGATTTGGGCGCCCGAGCAGTATCTCAGCCCTTACACAAATAATTTGATTTGTGTCGCGCATATATATTTGGTGTTTCTTTGTACCAATGTTTATGTGTTTAAATAAGTTAATGAATAATCATCTTTCCATGTCACCAAGATTTTAGCTCATGCAATCCGTTTTAGTTTGCGTTTCTTACATTAATTTCCCCATTTTTAGGACTACTATGATAAAATTAAGCAACAATTGAAGTAGTTATTTACATTCAGTTGTCAAAACTGTTCATTCTGTGTTTTTTAGTCCTTTAGAAACTATTTAACAAGATGGATTCATATAATGAACATGATGATCAAAGAGAATTGGCAATAATTATACACGAACAAGAAAATCAGCATGATGGAGTGAGTAGATGTGAAAATCATCTATATTTCTATAACATAAAGTAATGAGTATTTATTAGATTTATTTCCCACGGTTATGTTTTAATTGTGCACTGTGGATGAGATTGTCACTAAAACAATAATGTTGAATAGTTTATCATACATTGTTGGATACTTAGTTATCACATGACTAAGTGAGTAAAGTATGGTGATGCTTATTCTGTTTTGAATAGTTTCCGCTTATTCTTACAGTGTGAATTTAAACTAGTCGAAATGTTTCCACTACGTTTTAATAAAAGTAAGATATCTCAATGGGCAGTTGAATTTTCTGTGTAACTAGTATTTGAACGTACAAATAGCGAATACGTCTTTACACATGAAGAAACGTTTTGTGGTGCTACGTGACAAAGGATATGTAAATTCCTTTAGGCAGAATTTAATACCATCTGGTTGATACCCTCTGACTTTTGAGTGTCCACTCAGCCAAACTTGAAAACCACCCGTCAGGTATATCCTCGTTCTAAAAATTCATTAACAGTAATCAGTGTTTTTTGACCGTTGAGCAATTACCTTTATTGAAATGTTAGGATTTTTGTGTTAACACTACAGAAATTATACAACTTAGTTTTAATAGTTTTTTTTATAGGAATTAAAACTCGTTAAAAATTGCCATGTTATATTAGTTTCTCTCGTGTACATGATGTAAAAAAAACAATCAAATACGGTTGTTTAGTAAAATCATCCACTGAACTAATGAAAAATCATAAGTAAACACTTACACTACTGTTTGTGTCAGGTTGCTAACACAGTTTTCACATAGATTTCATAGTAGTGATATATTTTGTTGAGATAATTACATTTTCATATCATCATCGTATAAAAGACATGATTAAAGTTGGCTAACTTGAGTTTTTCCACTTCTTATCATACTCTTTTATGCGTATTTTTCATATTTCATACGATAATAACTTGTACTAGATTACCGAGTTTCATTAAATTAGATTGAAATAATTTCATGAAAACTGAATTGATCACCATAAATACGTGCGTTAGAATAGTTCAAAGGATTCATATTAGTTATTAAGCCTTTAGCTTAGTTGAACAGCTTCCTAAAATCAACAATTGGAGTTGTTTCCTCCGATGAACATTTAGAATAGAACTCGAGAATCACTAAAATTCCTGAAGCCACCAAGTTTTATATTCAACTTGTCTACAAACATTATGTTTTTGACTGATTTTAATATTCATATGGAATGTTTACCAGTCAAATACTCGTATCTTGTAATTTGGATGACGGGCTGATATTAATTAAACTACCGAACTGATGATACGGAGTGAAGTAGTTGAGTGTGTCGACCGCTTCACTTATCTTGGAAGTCTCATAAGCCCTTATGGTCTGATGTGTAACGAAATCTCAGCACGGATAAAGAAGGCTCGACTAGCTTTTGCCAACTTGCGTCATTTATGGAGTAGGCGAGATATCCGTCTGTCAAACAAAGGACGTATTTACTACGCGGCGGTTCTTTCCGTCCTACTTTATGGCAGTGAAACATGGCCGGTAAGAGTAGATGTTCGTAGGTTACTAGTTGGTGGTTGGAGGTAGTCGACAGGAAACCCTGGACCCGGGTTCCGTGTTACTTGGCACTCGTCAGCAAAGTGTACCTGTAATCTTGAGGGAACTGGTGCTCCCTGGCGGATGGTTGAGAGCATTCGATCTGCACTAAATAAGGACTTGACACACATGACATTGATCACCACCCAGTGATCAATCGATTGTGGTAGGTTACTAGTATTTGATCATAGGTGTCTTCGAAACATTGCTCGTATATCCTGGGACCATCGAGTAAGTAACGCAGTTGTTAGGAAACGGGTACTTGGTAAGGATGGCAAATTAATTGATGAAGTAGTGAAACTTCATCACTTGAGATGGCTGGGACACGTGTTACGTATGCCCAACCACCGACTACCTCGACGTGCGATGTTCAGTGGTATAGGAGTAGGTTGGAAGAAAGTTAGGGGCGGCCAGACCAAAACATGGCACAAGTTCATGAAGTCACTGACAATTGGACTGAGTCATGTTAGGTGTAGACTGCCTGGTTGGGGACCGCGAGATGATAGCAACCTATGATTAGAGACCCTGAATGACATGGCTCAAAATCGTTTGCAAAGGCGCTGGTGCATTCACTCTTTGTGTTCTCCCGATTTCTAATATCTTGAATCCTCCTTGTCTTTTTTCTCTTCCCAAATTTATTTCACTGAATTATCTTCAAACACTAATGTTTCCGATTACTGCCTATACTCTTACCGCCTCTACCACTACAGGATTTGAATCGACAACTGCATCTCTGTGCTAATGTGGTGTGGCAACTCGAACTGACGTACGTACGTACGTACGTACGAAGTTCTACGTTGTTACTGACTGACTGAAATAACCGTTGAAAACCAGGAAGCGCTGTTTTATACTGGTATGAGAATTCTTGGCAATGGGCATCCATGACCTCTGAGTCTTAGGTCTCACACGTGATCGCTTGTCCCCTAGACTGCTGAGCCGGCATCCATTGATTTGCATGTTTAACTTAAATCAACTTTTAATATCGCTCAACGACCTCCCATTGTACCTAGTGAGTAGCTGCCTCACTTGTATGTTACCTCAATACTTGAAAATTGACTTAAATAATAATAATTTTTCAATAGTAGCAAATACTTTAACTCTTGTTTTGTCACACTAAACATTGGAAGTTTAACTGTATGTTCATTCATAAGAGACATTATTACGAAATTCTTTTCCAAAGACCGTAACGTGAATAAATATAATCCGATCATGTTTATGTCAAGAACTATGTAAATAATTGACATCTGAACAACAAAATATCAGAAATGAATCGAGTGGAAAAATTGTAATTCATTTATTTATGCTTCATTATTTCACTCTCAATGACGATAGCTAACAATTCACACACGACTAGTTTTGTGTACCTGGATTGTTTATTAAAATTTGGAGTTATTATCTATAAAAAATTTTGATATGCATGGGATTATTTACAGGTTATATTCACTAAAAATATAAACAACTGTTCAAATTGCGAAAATGATAATTCAGCATATCAGTTATTTAAATAACGGTACAATTTATCGCTAGTCAAGATTCATCTCTGCTTATGATGCTTGGGACTCAAGGCAATATCGAGGCGATCCGCACAGGATACACATATGCCAATAAGAGACTGATTAGTTGCAGGCCTAAACACCAATGGGAAGATTTATTTATTTTAATACATAGATATTGGTACAAGGAGACACCAAATACATATGCGCCACACATATCTCATTTGATATGTGTGAGGGCTGTGATACTGCCCGAGTGCCCAAACCGAAGCAGGTAGTTTTCTAAGGGGGCCACACCCGGAGCCTTTGACATGGTCTGGTCCACAAGGCAGTGGACCATCGTAAGGAGATGCAGTCCCATGGTAGCCGGTGATCGACAATTACTTCATACGCCATTTGTCCCTTCAGAATCCTGGAGTCCATGTGCATCATTGGTTTAGAATCAGGGTTTTCCAACTCCCCTAGGTGGACTCTCCATGTCTACCAACCCAGTTAAAGCGCCGGACGTTCGCTTTTCGTCCTCTCAATTTCGTAAATAACACTCGTGGTGCGAGAAGGCAGTGAGTAGGACTTCCCTGGCGGAGGCTATATACGCGTGGCCATGTGAGAACATTTCGAGAGGGAGAGCGGACTTTCCCCACTCTCGGCCGTACCAGGTATTTGGGGGGAAGATTCAAACAACCAATACAAAAATGAGCTTCTTTTCACGTTTTTTTTAGAGGAAAATTATTTATTTACTGTATTTTCAAGTTATATTAAATAAGTGTACTTGTTTATTAGTTAGCTATGGACAAAGTAGGACTTTTCGTAGAGATGTCCACTGATTCCAGTCAACACAATTCTCAGCAACAACGCCATAAAAGATAATCTAATTAACATCATTGGTAGTGAAAACACCACAAAGATGCACTTTGAAATTAATAAATAACATTGGAGAATGGAAATTGGAAGGGAAGTATATCATAAGTCATCTTAAGCCATTTTGCTGTTTCCACCCATAAGTGACTAATACGTGGATGTCAATCAAGAGATCTGCAGTTCTTTACATAATAACCTATGCCTAACTTCAGCTTTTTTTAACATCAATTCTTTGAAAGCATTTGTCGCATTACATTACTAAAATGCACGCATCATTATTAATTAGTATAATAATGTATTTTGTCAGTTACTTAAAGTGCTTTATGTTTTTTGAAGAATACGTAGCGCGTGCTATTAAAAATACTAGTAATTATTAACTGACGAAATTAGAGGATTCATAACGCGCTGATAAGTATTTCAACTGATATCAGTTCCACTATTTTCGGATTTTTTCTATCAAACATGGTGGTATACAAACAATTAAAGCACTTATTTGAAAACCAGTTGTTTGGTTTTTTTTGCATTCTCACTAATCATACATGTAGTATGTTACCTTTTACAATTGATTGTCTGATTTGTACCTCAAATAAAAAGATTGGTTGAAAGGAAGGGTTTTTTTCCAGAAAATTGATTATTTTAAATGAATCGATTATCTGAAGAATAGTTAGAAAATAAGTATGAAACTATCTAAATGTTTCGTATTTGAAGGTTTCGGATACTTCACAACCTCCACCACTTCTGTTGTTTATACTGTCTTCAAACAGTATAATGTATACTCGAAAATCTTGAGGTAAACTCTTTTGGATTCTAACTTATTGTCCTGATAACATTGCCGTTATCATGAACATTAATAGTTCTGTGTCTTGTCGTCAGATAGCTTGCTATTGTTAACTCTTATTGAACAGTGGAGAGTATACCACAATATCTATCTGTAATTTCTTGGCTTTTAATAGTTTATCAAATTACGTCTATCCTGAATAAAATGTATGCCCTTCAAAGAGAAGCAAAAGTTCAATTTAGTTTATTGAAATGTTGCTGAGTGGTAAAACATTCTTTATGTAAACCAACGTAAAATGTTTAGATATATTTTTACTTATTGCTAAGTTTTATCAATTTATACGTAACTTCTCTTTTCCTTTTTGTAATTCTTAACTCTAAATAACTAGATTAAATGAAAATAATGATATGAAAATTTCTTAGCAATACTTCCAAAAGGTGTGGTAATAATTACGCATCAATATCTTTTATCCTAAATTAAAAATATTTCCTCAGTAATTAACCTTTCAGTTGAGCTGAAACACTTATTGCTTAAGTCAGCGGAATAGAGTGTCGTTGGTACTGTTTTCCTGCTTTGTATTTTTTTAAATGATGTGGACTTTTTTGTATCGACATAAATTAGTAGAACAGTCTCGATTGTTCAAACTTTACATTACTCACAAAGGAATGTTGGTTGCTCCCTCAACACACTAGTAATGGTAACGGTTTATTCACTAGAATTAGTTTAAACTGTGTCAATATATTGTTGGTTTATCCGAAAATGAGCAGTTGTAAAGAGTATTTACAGTTTACATCATTCTAATTTAAATATCCGTATGCCGTAGCAGGAAACTGACTTGTGGAATCCAATAATTTGGCGGGAGGAGTGATATAGTTTTCACGATTATCACCCGATGAATGTGAAATCGGGGATTTTCATATTCTGATTTGATCACACGACCATATATTGTTTTTTTCAATTCCTGAAGACCCTGAGTTTAATCTCGTTTACACCATAGGTGTCTATACACTCCTGGATAAACCTTAAAATTAAGCAAATCCTCCCCCCAGACTGTAGTTTTTAACGCCTCTACAACTAATATTAATTTGTAACGAGAACTCTTATGTAAATGCATTCGTTTGTTTTTAATGATGATAAGTTGCACATCATTATCTAATCAAATGTCATTCTATCTGTTTTGTTCCTTTTTGTTTTGACCCACCCCTCTACTACTGGTCTACTTGTAGAGTAATACTCAGTGTAAGCCAGAGCTGGTTTCTTCAATTAATGCCCATCATAATATTGCCAATAAACAAACAGAAGACGATGAAATTGTGTTTAAAAATCTGAAATTAATAAATTCTACAGATAATAAGTCTAATTCCCTCATTGATAGCGAAAATAACACAGCCGATGTGACACAGTGTGATAATGAATATGACACTTTGGATGAATTATTCGACATTGCGAAATTGTTATCGGACTCGATGGATAACCAACAAATAATATCTGTAGGAAAAAAGCAATTAAAATCAGATGATGATAATTATGAACAAAATGCAGAGAAAGCGTTTGTTAATAATAATAATAATGGTGGTGGTGGTGGTGATATCGGATATCAGCCATCACAAACGGCTGATAATAATCTAATATCAAGCCGTAATGTGGAAATAAAACAAGTTGTCATTGGGTATCCTGATCGTATGTCCATTGTAATGGAAGAGAATGATGATGATTATGTTGATGGTAATGATGAAGATTATGCATCGGAAGCTTCAATTAATCAAGAAGAGTGTCATAAATACAACGAAATACTGGTGGATGAATTGTCATCTGACCAACAAGATATGTCTAAAGATTCGTCTCAAGAGCAAATAACCGAATTCGTTGATAGTCTCAATGAAGTAATTCTTCAATTGATGCATCCTTTATTTGCTTTGTAGTGTTGTTTTTATCCATTAAATGTTGTCTGAAAGTTTTCACTAACTGTTGTCACTTTCATTTGTCTTTTATTCTGTCTCGTTGCATGACTTTTGTCTTATTCTCCAATATAATCAGTGTTTTCCTAAAATTCATCGTTCCTATCATAAACAGTTAGTTTAATCAAATGTCTTCTTTTCAGTATCATTTAATACGATTCACTGTTTACCTAGTAATCCAACTTAACTGCTAATTCATTTTCTTTTCAAAAATTTCATTACAATTCACAGCGTTTACGAATAGAATCAAGATCTTCTTCGAGTAAGTAATATGCTTTGGTAATAATTTATTGACAGTAATCTAATATTGTATGTGCAAATATTGTTCGTACATAAATGGAAACTCGGTGTTTCAACATTACTTGGTGTTTTGATAAATTGAGCTTCGTACTATTTTGAGTAATTTTTTCTATGTTGTGTCAGTTCTGCAATTTGACTGATTGTCTCACACAGGAATAATCATCTTGTCCTTCTGGTTGTTTTTGTACACATCTTATTGTCATTATTATTCTGCTCTTTAATTGTAAACTTTGATTCACTTCAGTGATTAGTAAAACACTAGTCAGCCATAATTCTTCTAAGAGCGTGGCACAAATGTGCAACGGCCCAAGTCCCCATACCAAATTAACATAATATATAATTAGTAAGTTGAATAATAATGAGATTGAAATCATCATAGTAGTAATGGTCTAAAAATTAGCTTGACAGGTAAATCGATTATCAGCATATTGATAAGGCCGTAGACAAATTAAAAACATCAGTGAAACCAGTTGTATTGTTGGTGATCACATTTAGCTTGAATCTGACTAATCGTAAATTTGTTAACCTTAATTAAGTTTTTGTTTGCAATTTATCTAAAACGATGAGGTATGTCCCATTCCATAACATTATTTGAGAATTTCATTCTGTTTTAGCTTCGGATGTAACAACAATCGATGAAAACGATGTTGCATGTGAGATAGAAATTCATCCACAACCATTGGATCATTGGGTAGAAGATTCTTATGTAAGTATTTATAACAGGTAACATACATCACAGCTTGATTAGTCGCTACTCGAAAATCAATCAGTTATAAGTACCTCAGCCTTTCTGTAGGTCACTCATGGCCCGAAAGTCTCAGCGGTAACGTTCCATTCTGTTGGGCTGGTTGTTCCAGGTCCAAATCCCACAGCGACCAGGATTAAAGATTATAGACCACACCTTGCTGACGAGTGCCGTCTAATATAAAATTTATGTCTAGAGCTTCTTGTTGACTACTTCCAACTACCGAAGTTGGTTTTCTGTTCGCTTGTTTTTAAAGTGATATGTGAGAACTCAGTCAAATTACTTGATACTGAACACATAGAGAATATATTTCACATAGAGCTCCAAGTGTTACTTTGCAATGTTATATGACGTCACATCTGTTGAATTTACTGGGATTGTTTAACACTTTTACGGTATTTCCACTATTATGTTCCATATTCAGAAGTAATTAGTACCGAAGTTTTGAGCCATATTTTTTTACTTGTTAACAGTGACCATCATCAACATGAGTTACTGTTATTATCCAAAAAGACTTTGTGTTTAGTGTTATCAGTTCTACTGATGAACATACTTTTAGTGGCTTAGCACGAGTATCAACATTAAATACGTTTTATATGTAAGGAGGCCATGCCTAAGAGATATCATCAGCGATACACACACACACACTTATGCACACTCACAGATGAGCTTAAATTGTTTCCCTCTGATCGCAGACTTTTATCTGGTCATTCACTATGATCTAAAAAATTCAAACACAGCATTTTAAGACTAACTGAAGGTGAGATTGTACATGAGATGTTTATTTTTACTACCATACTTTCTTCCTTTTTGCTTATGAAATCCTTTCTTTCTTTTCGGTAAGTTGAATAATATTGAGTAACGCTTTATTATCCTGTATATTCTCCCTCTCTCCCTCCTCTCTTTTTTAATTAATTAGGCCACAGTCGTTCGTCATACACCTGTGGTTACACCTACTACAGTTACTCCTGTAAATACTGCAAATCACAATACAGAAATGGATAATTTGATTCAAGAGAATTTAGAAGTTTATAATCCTCATGAAGAATATGCAAAAAAACAATTTGATTCTAAAGTATGGATGTTTTGACTGATCACGTTTATTTTCCTATATTTTCTTATTTTTTGCAATTACTACTGCTTATAATTAACATGGTTTCACGTACAACAAACTTGCATCAAGCAAGTTTAGAGTGATGTTGAAAGAAATTTTTGCTAAAAAATTGATGTAATCTACGGAAATTCTTTATAGATCATTTCTACCTGAAGTTAGTGCTGATGATATTGTCTAGAAAGAAACAGAAAGCTTCACGATGAAACCACCTAGCTCAGAGAGCTCAATAATAGTTAGAGAACACTTGATAGCTGTCCATCGTAGTTATCATTAGTTTTCACTTTTATCATTTGGAACTGGATTGAATGGTAGATCTTGTGGCTAAAATTAATTTGGGCCGTAGTACTTGTAGTGGTTTTCCCCACTTCACATGTTGCTCATTTCCGTATTTTACATTCTTTTATAATGAATTGTGCGTATTCAAACACATACACTTCACATAACTATACTAAACTGATAATTCTTAATCCTCGAGTTAGTAATTGTAATTATATTAATCAAAGTATTTTCCTCAAGAAGTTGCAAATTATTCCAGAATTACTTTTTAGTTGACCAGGACTTTTCGGAAATGCCCTGTGAAACCCAGAAACAGTTATGTGTATTTACTTGTTCATTTTAAATCTGATTAATGGAGTACCTACATTTATTATTATTGATCTTAGTGTTTGCCAGAAATTCTTAGTTTCAGCTTCAATACTCCCAGATTTCTGTAACTGAACTAATCCTAAAAGCAAACGTACTATCCCATTTTTACCGTCTGTATTTGTTTAGGCTTCAAGGTTGGTGGTAGATTTGTCTGGTTATTGAAACCAATTAGATATCCAGTGGTGTAGGTGTTCGACATTCCAAACTTAAGATTAAAGCATCATCAGCTACAGGTCTTGCGGTCAGTTAGTTAATGGGATACAATAAACACCTTAGTTCTCTGCTGAATTCCAATTATTCACTTGACTAGTCAACCCCTGTATCAAGTATCCTAGTCAATCAAACCGGTCGATCAATTTTGAGTCAGTTTACATCATAGCAATTGCATCTTATTTAGCAGATAGCCTGATAGTATGGCAATAGCGGTGATGATTTTAAGAAGAATTATTTACGAAATTCGTTGCGCAAATTATACACGTGTTAGAATCGACATTTAGTTACCCTGTTTCTCCCGCCCTAGTTATTTAGTTTCTTTTCTTGCTGCGTTAATATATTACTTGGCAACGGAGGACTAATGCATATATTTTACCAAGTCGCTTGTTGGATTAAAGTAATATTGATTTTCTGTGGGTTGATAGTTCAAATTTTATTGAAGATTGTAGTTGATTTCCCTCTGTTCATTAATGCTTGCCAACATCCCCCGTCCTATCTCCTATTTGCGTCATTAAATAAAGTCATCATATAAGTATATCACTAAATTTCTTTGTTTTTGGTTTACTTATATGAGCATTGTTAGTAAGATAATATAGGGTGAACCGATGATACCATAATCAAGAAAATATATCTGGATCTCGAAAACGTTAACTTACAGTTCGTCGCGAAGCACTGGGCAGTCGTTTCGTCTTAGTATGGAACTTATCTGTGTGCATCTACGATTGATTAGTTAGCTTCATAACGTTAAGGATAATATTAATTGCTATGATGCAACGGATGTTTGTACAAACTTTTTTTAATAGTTGAAATCATGATTCAATTGACGCTAGACCATCATGAAAAACCTGGAAGCACTGGACGGCCGTTTCGTCCTAGTATGGGACTCCTCAGCACTGCACATCCACGATCCTGCCACCCGCGAGATTCGAGCTCAGGACCTATCAGTCTCGCGCGCGAGCGCCTAATCTTCTTTTAATCTAAATACACTTTTCATGTATTGTTTATGCATCTATGTCACGTTATATACATTCATTAATCTGACTGATTAATCATTCAATGATCTAGATGCGAGTGCTAATCAGTTTTTCTTACACAAGAGATATATGAACGATGATAATTCTTTTTTTTTATAATAATTTCTTTCCAAGTTCTACAATTGTATATCCAAATTAATGATCGAAGAATATGACCAGGTTTAAGGCAAAATACATCGTTTAAAAATTATTTGTATTATAAAATAAAAATCGTAATGTTTGGATGACTAGTATGGAGTATTGACTTGACTAAGTTTATACGTTAAATGAAATTATGAGATTAATGATCAGAATAAATATGGTTAACATGGAGTGAGAGAGATAATAATGTGATTACAAATTAGAAATCATGTAATATGTAGAATAATATGAATTAGGTACGAATTAGTAAATAGGGCTGAGTGCTGAATAAAACATTGGCAGGTGTTATAATAATAATATATGTGAATAAGATTAGTTTAGGCTATGAAAATGCAAATAAAAAGGTTGTATAAACACTACTAGGATGAAACGGCTGTCCAGTACTTCCAGGTTTTCCATAGTGGTCTAGCTTTAATTGACTCATGAATTCAACTATTAAATATGAAAAATTTATGAATATTTGTTTTTGATGTTATCCATTTTATAAAATGCATGTGTACTAAACATAGGGTTTCTGTCAAAAGATCTTGTCCAATTGTGTAGTCAACTTTTCAACTACGGGATTAATGTCGGTGGTAGTATGTGTGTGTGTGTCTCATTCATTCTATCATTGCAGAGGAATACTCGTTAACGCTATTGAAATTTCTTATTTATGCTTTGAATTCATCTCTTAACCCATGAAGGTAGAAGATGTACTGATTTTCAAGTACTTTTTTATCATTGTCTGTCAACAATTGCCTTTGCATGGCGAAACTGTTAAGTCTGTATCCTGGTGGGGTTGAAAGGCTAGTGTAGCAACTACTAGGTCGGTTGGCTGGTGATGCCTTGAGCGTTTAACGACTGACACACGTATTACACATTCCGAAATATCTAACTCATTACTCCCACTTATACTTTATCTAAATGTCTCATTATTTCCTTTTCAAGTAATTTAGCTTGATAAACTAAAACTACATGTTATTTTGATGTGTAGTGTTATCACGAATTAAAATTCGCGGTTAATATTGATCAATACATTGTTTATTAATGTACCTACCAATGTATAAATATTGACCAGTCCACCGCTGCTTCTGCTTTGTGCTCACATTTTGTTAGTGCTGTAAAATACTTCATGAATTCATGATAAACTACTCTACGTGTGTGTAACAGAGAGAGAGAGTGTGTGTGTGTGTGTATGGTTCGCAACTTTAAATAATCAAGTACTACTAAGAAGTTTTAGTTCTAGATTGTTAGGTCAGAATCACCCACTGTAATTCGAATGAATAAATTAGTTGGAAAAAAACAAATGAGTTTGTTTTTGCATCTTTTATTAGCACATGTTTGGGAAGTGTATTCAAGGTGATTTCTTTGCCAAAAGTACAGTAGTAATGTAAATACTGTAAGTACAGAGTCGTATGTGTAACTTTGAACTCAGTTCCTAGATCACATGTTCGTAACGTACATTTATTGAAGCTCCAAAGGGTTCCATCATGTCATTAATGGATAACTGCATAAATAAATAGTTTTCATTTTATCGAACTACACTCTTAATTTCAGTGAATTCGTATCATGACTAAATCATTTTTGGGTATCAGTCTATCATTTCATTTCTGAACCTTTTTTGACTGAGACGGTTGGTTTACGCATACACAGCAATCTACTTACTGAGTCGCTGACACTTGCAACTAGGATTACACTACATAAATCGTACATCATTCAGTGATTATCCACCGGTTTCTTGTCCAGAGAAATGGGTTATGTGATCCCATAGTTTTTAAAAATTCCTGATTACATAAGAGGTCCATTTGGTAAAGGTTTTTTGACCCTTACCAAATTATCGATCAATATTAGTTCTTGATGTTAAATTACTGTCAGGTTGACTCAATTTCTCTCAACTATTTCGCTGACTAATGTATCTTTTTCGATAATATTTTTAATTAACTGACAAGATTCTAAACTTGTATCAATCAAAACGGTTAGGTTAGTTCTAAAATCTTGCCATTTATTTGAGCGCATCCTACCATCTCAAATATTATTCTCACTTAATAAGTTCAGGTTTAGTCATTTGATTTCAAGCCGTATTCAAGTAACAACCATTACAGACTATAGAATTAATAGTTTCAAATCAATATATATCGTTCCCATAAACTAATCCTTTATTTTCCACCAATTAATGACAAACATCAATATTATATCTATCGAACCGATTATTGTTCTGTTTTCCTTAATCATTTATTTCAAACTCCTGCAACTTTAAATACCGTTACATAATTTATTGCACAAGGTTCTAGTATTATTATATATTCTGTCAGCCATATCGAATTGAATTTAAATGAACTTTGGAATATCTCTCATAAGTTATGGGTTTATTCATACCTACGAAAAGATGAGGTAATTTGTTAGTCAATTCACAAAAACACAAATGCATAAATGAATGTGTAAAAAGAGGGACAGTGAGAGAGTGAATGCAATCATTCTTACGCACCTTAAATAATTTAGAATAAGTTCAAATACATAATTCTTATTAGATGATACATCGTATCCTGAAAATCTGATCTCAACTGTAAACCGTACTCATACGGTTAAATTAGGCTTGATGAAACTCTCATTCCGAAAACCTGATTCTCTAGGATGTGCTTAGAAATTCCACGAACATCCACCATTTTTTATTATAACTAGTAAAATAATGAAGCAACATTATAAGCTCATGGTTATTGTTTTAGTATTTAGTGATCTATTTACATATTAGCTGTACCTACATGTGAAGCATATATATAGGTAATAAACCCAGTTTGGTATTTTTACGGTCCTCTTATTTAAAATTAGGTTAATTGATGAATGTTGGTTTGTTAGTTATTAAAATTATTCAATAAAATGAGTGTTTAATATGTGTATGTGTGTGGAAGGATTGTTATGCACTTGCCTCGAATATTTTGTAGCTTTTTATATGCGCTTCATACATTTGAATATCTAAACAATGTAATATTTTGTTCATGTTAATGGTGGCGATCAATGTTGGATGAAATCATCTCATAGTTCATCGCTATCTACATTTAATTCAATTATCTAATAATACGTTAAGCAAAGTTGCATTCAATTAAAACATTTTGGCATATTTTGCTCATCTTGTGATATTGTGACTTATTAGTTAACATGTTTAACTAGATAACGAGAAAGTCTTTGGCTCGTTCCTACTTAGTAAAGTTTACTTAGCTATACTTTATCAATAATGATATTTTATGGTCTACTACATGGATCTGCGTATATGGTTATTAAGTTGCATATGAAATTTCTGATCAAATTTGATCACTATTTGGTTCACTTTTAAAGAATTTTATATCATGTTTACCAATTTTGCTACTTCAATTAGTAGGGAACATTTTTCGAGCGAGACTACAATCTATAGACGAGCAAATCGAATAGCACCTGTTGAAATTCTGTCTGAAATTCATCACATTCATATTGCTATATGTCATGACTGCACTACAGCTGGTGTCAGTTCGTTATGATAAACCTAACAGTTGATCCTATTTTCTAACCTTATTTAAACCAGATAAGTGGTTACATTTTCCCAACGTCAAATGTCGTTCATAAACTATAGTCTAGATAGTTTGTTTTCTACAAGTTTTATACTACTGTTTAGCAAATAACTACTAACAAAAGAAATATTTGAAGTACTCATTAGTAAGTTTTGTTTAGTGATTGATTGACATCATGTTTTGTCAAAAAAAGTCCATAAAAGTTCTGTTATTCACATTATACACTGTTATCACTACAAGTTTATCGGCATCCATATTTGGTAAAGTTTTAATTAACTAGAAAAACAAGTGAAAATTGTCGTTATAATTGTTATCGCTTTTGTCCTTAAATTCAATTTCTTAGTTAGGTATTGGTTGTAATTATTACAATGAATTCGCTGAAACAGAAGAGTTTGAAGATATGAACAATGGAACAAATCATGAATTACCTAGTGAAACTCGTCTACGAACCATACCACTAGAACGATTTATTACTGAAGAACAACATATAAACGTAGAGAATTTAAAGCACCAATCTCAGACGATGCAAAATTATTGCGATTCTGAAAGTTTAGTTAAAATGAATGTTGTACCCGATGATAATTTAGAGGATCGTACAAGATGGCGTACTTGTCCATCTTTGATAGTAAGTCCAATCGATGTGGCGTGCAACCCTTTGGCGTAAATTTCACGTTCTATATTAGTCTTTTCATCGTTCAATTAGTTTGAACCATTGTGCCTTCAATCAACGCAACTTTTACATTGTTAACTAACAGCCATTTAACACCTAATTCACTAAAACAATAAATTCTGATCCGACTTAATTATTTTCGTAAGATCTACATAACACGACCAACATTTACAGCTAACCATTTTCGCTATACCACTGACTGCTTATCATCACATGTAAAATTATTGGTACATTGTATTATCTGTCGTGCTAATTAGTCAGTTACTGGTCTAGCTTAATTTTCTTGATTATACTTGTTTTAAGAAAATAATGAATTAATTTAGTAGACTGTTAATGAAATAGGTCTACTTTTTGATATTATTGAGTCACTATAGTAATTAATTCTGTTTTCCAGCTGAAATATTTCACTCGATTGTTTCCAATCAATGAACTCTGTTTATCCAGATTTCGATTAAATTCTGATGTGAATTTTACTAGCCAATAATTATAAAACATTGGGAAAAGTATTTGTTGATGAATCTGTTAAAGTCCTGAGTTTGTAAAATTATAGTAACCTATTTAGCAGTAAATTCTTATAGTTGAACTTTAAAGTGCTGTTCAGGCAAAAGTCGATATCACTGACCCGAATGCCAACTAATTAGTGTAATTGCGATTATTTTTATGGAGATCAAACATATTAAGAGGTGGTTTTCGTCACAGGCTGACACTGATTGAGATACCATTCAAAATCAGGGAGCACTGAACAGGTCTTTTGTTCTAGTAAGAAACTTCTAAGAAGTCCGTATATATGATCCCACCAGAGATGGAGTCGAGGACCTTCAGGTTTCCGCATAGCTTGTGCCAAAAGTATATGGATTAAATTGGAATCTGTTTGTTAAAATTTTCGACTCGTCATGATATAATGTGATGATATGCATATTCTATGCTTTTTCTATCTATCACTTTCCATACGATCTTGATTTATGCTGTATAATTAGTGACTAGTTAGTTGTGTATCAACGTCTTATCGCTCGTTTAATATCCATGATGTAACTGAAAAGTAGTCCGAATATAGTCTTTTTTTCAACTCTTAAATAATTGGTTAAGTAGCCAACTGGTAGGATCTTATATATATACCCCTGAGTAATTATTGCTAATGATAGTACTAATGGTAATAATAATATTACTATTGTGAATTTGCTCTTAGTTTTTGGCTAATCTCAGTTTACTTCATAAGTTGGTAATGATAATTTGTAAAATATTTAAATATTACTGTTCTTTTCTGTCACTAATACATCTGATGAACAGTGTAGGTATTTTTCAACTCCTCACACTTATCAGAAGTTTATGCTTTTTTATCTAATGCTTTTGTTGCTCCTATCTTGAAATAATTCCATTAAATTAGCCGCCATTTTTACAGTGTTATGCTTGCCTAACTCTTTTTTTCTATCTCTCATCATGGAAATATGTATATCTATTGGTACCAGTGTAACGCCCTTTTTATCATGTAATTTCGTTTCTGTTGGCAAATTTGAAATAAACCCAATTAGTTATTTGTTGCTTAAAAATAATCTTAGCTAACTAGTGCTATAACAGTCAATTGTAAATGGCTATTTTGAAAAGAGGTGTCTGTAACCTTGGCTTTATAATAATGCATAGATTTATATCTGTGTAAAAGGGCATATGTATCGTTAATGTATACCAATAAATGTCGTTAATATATATTTATTAGTAGTACTGTTCTTCCTATTCGATTGTTAGCTTGTTTATTGGTATTCTACATAAACATTCCGTTGAGTAGGGTGGATGCTTAATCATCCAACTAGCTAGTCATTTTAAGAGTGAATCTTTGAATGATTAGCTACACTTTAAGGAGAATAATAATCGGCAGTTCCATGATCTAATATACACCCATAGGTTTTATTAACGGTGGATATGATCATTAATAAACTTAATTTCGACTAAAATACTGGAGCCATTAAGATTGTTATTCCAGTCGAACTGTAGTCAAGGATAGAAAATTAAACTAAATGTATCAAGCGGAACATAAACATGGTGGTAGTGACCGAAATATACGGGAATATGTTCACCAGCAGGAAGTTGTGGAATTTGTTCACACAGTACTCAGTAGGAAAATCAGTTAATCCAATGAAGGCAAAACTCACTATTAATTATATAATGCTAACACCATTTATTTTTGAAGTTTCATTTAAGGAAGTCGGATATAAATATTATATTGAAAGCTTTCTAATCTGGAGAGGGTGTCATTAAAAAAATACTCATTCATGACAATCGATTTCATTTCAAAGTGAAGTTAGGTGAATTGCATATAAACTTAATGTACGTTGAATACATGTAACAAAAAATAAATTAGTTGGAGAACAGTGGTCTAATGGTTATTGATCGTTGGTTTAAACGTTAAACCCCAGGTTCCATCTAGTTCGGTTTGAGCAACCTGGTAGTTATCACCACGATACACACGTGTGATTACACAAACTGGTACTTAATTACGAATTTGTTGTTCATTTTTTGACTAAATACACTTTATTGATAGTATTTACAGAGAAATGAATAATTTTAAGTGCTCTTAATTGTGGTTGAAAAATGTTCTGAGTATAAATTGATTAAGTCTTTTAAATTGCTTACAGTTAAACACTTAAATAATGTGTTTTATTGACTCCTTACTCGGGGATTTTTCTCAACACCTATTGACTTGTCGGCTAAACCAATGTTGCTATACAGAGTGGAAGCAAATAATAAAAAAATGTTTATACTTTGTCTTCACCCAAAGTTAATTATCAGTGAAGGCTTCAGTAATAAAAGTATTGTTTAATAAATCAATGATACCTTTTAGTATAAAAAGATCAAAGTAATTAACACTGATAGCCGTCATTTTAGGTACTTACTATACCATGCCCATTCATTGTTTGCGTGCTCGAATCTATTTGTACAAACTAATACATACTTCAAATATTTAAAAAATAATTTAATTATATTTAATTACGTTTTATTTCTAATATTTTGTGTGCTATTGCTAGAATTCACTTTTTATCAAATTTACAAATATTTTACATGTCAAATTAGTTAGAATATCCATTATTTTTTAAATACACAATCACTGATTACTGAAATTACCCTACTAATATACAACCAAATAAATGTAATGTTATGGAAACATTTTAAGTTGAAAATTATTAACAATTTTTTAAATATCAAATGGGTTTTGTGGATATTATAGTAATTTCAATTGTTAAGATCATGAGTCAGTTGAAGCTAGACCACCACGGAAAACCTGGGAGCACTGGACGTCAGTTTCTTCCTATCGTGGGACTCCTCAGCAGTGCGCGTCCTTGACCTCGCCCCCTGCGAGATCCGAACCCGGGACCTACTAGTTTTGCGCGCGAGCACTTAACCACTAGACCACTGAGCCGGCTCGCAGTCAACGGTGTTAATGTCTAACTTCAATTAATCTACGAAATTGAGCGACACATCCACCATTGTCTTCAGTGAGTTACTATCTCACAACAGACCTGGTCGAACTCCATTGGTCACTACTTCTCACTAGAACTCCAGTGCTTCCATGGTGGTCTAGCTTCAGCTGACTCATGATCTCAACCATTGAAAATTTTTTTCTTAATTCCATCAATACAATATGAAAAAGGAATACCGGAGACATGAATATTTTAACAATAGTATTAATATTCATTTAAATACTGGTTGATTATATATACTATTAATAAACATACTACTAAATAAATTTAATTGTTAACATATCTTTACATGAACTATAATTTTGTTTCAAATATTATTAAGTAATTCAGTTTTTTTACCCTATTCTTCAAAAAAATATATAGGGTTCCAAAATGGACAAAAATATTGACATGAGTAGTACGTTGATGACGGTAATCAAAACAACTAGTCAATTATCATTTATTTTTATTTAAAGTTCATTTTTAATCTACTGAAATATTTATTTTAATTCTGATCTTAATATTTTTTTCTTATTTCCATGTTAATTAACATGTTTGAATTAACGATATTTAAGTGTATAATAGATTTAGTCAATACATTTACTCTTTTTTCAGTCAAGTCTATGTATAACAGTACACCAACAAGGTATATATATATATATGTTCTTGTAAAAATATATCATATCAGTTGAGTTTCTTTAACAACTTATGTCCTAATTTTCAGCTTACCTTTATAATGTTGGATTAATCATGAATTTATCTGTGGATGCATATATATGCATTAGATTTTATGAAAAATATTTACCAGTTGAATTTGAAGCAGGAATACCATGAAAACAAAGTTCTTCATTTTGATTTCACGCATGACATCATATAATTTTATTTCCCATTGCTCGCTCTTTGTTTGCCTTTATTCTTTTTTAGTTATTTAGTTCCAATCTTTCATGCTTCGTTAATTTTTGTCTCCTTGGTTCTATATAGTTTTCTGAATAATTGAAGAATTTGTATATACATAAAGATTATTGTTTTATTTTAGCTTCCAACAAGAGAATCAATTGAACAACCAAGGTGTCATGCTTGTGCAGAAGTGGTCTATCCTTTAGAAGCTTTACAGACTATTGGTCGAGTTTATCATAAGAGCTGTTTCAAGTGTCATCAATGTCACCGTGTTCTAAGGTAGTTTGTTGTCAAATAATAATGATGACTATTCATTCTTGTTAATTATTTAAAACCTTCCAGGTAAATGGAACTAACTAGTTGAGTTTCAGATTTTTTGTTGCAGCGTTAAGTCATTGATTAGAACACTTGAGTGTTGATAATTGAGTTGCATGTTTGAAACCCTCTTCTCCTCAAACCTCGACTTGGATAGTCGAGTAAAATCATTAACCATGTATGCATATCTCATTAGTTATTGGTTAGTTTAAATTCCTAGACAGTGGTTTCTATTTTGAATATTAACATTAATTTTGTCTATCCAACTGACCCATCTGAAGTTTACTAAAATAACTGTTTATTACTTGATGATTGTCTGTCGTATATCAACTATAAAGACGACCTTCTGATAGTTTGTTTGATTGAGGCGTAATATGCCTGTTATATCGTTGGTTGTTTCGCCTCTCAGTTACCTCCATTTTGCTCTCAGCCATTTATTCAATGTGTGATCATCTTGTTTTGTCAGCCCGTTAATCTGTAGATAATATGGATTTGTTTAGATTCTCTTAATCTCCAGGTGACTTAGGCAAGATGTAAACTCATAGCTATCAAAACATGAACTTTGACCTGTGAATACCATTTTCGGAACTCCATGGTTCGCTATAATGTGTAGAATTACTACCTCTTTCACTGTCTTTCCCTGTTGGTCAGGAATTGCAATTATGTTTAGCCAACGTGTACCGACAGGTACTGATTCCCTTTATATGCTTGAGGAAACAATCCAATGACGTCTACCGACTCTAGACCTCTCACAGTTGTCGCAGGAATTGGTGGCAGAGGTATGCATACGCATCGATCTCTCTTGATTAACTGGTGTTGGAGGCATGCAAGTACATATATCTTCACGTCCCCCTTCAGCCTTGGCTGCTATAGACTTTTTCGTAAGAGGCCAGTTGTTCTACCAACACCTGTATGCGCCAGTTGGTGGCATTCGCCGATCACCTCACAGCGTAATTGTCTCGTGATTACCACTACTTAGCTCCTGTCGTCTCCACTTTGAGTTAGCATTCCCGCAGCATTCAGACTTGACCGATCTATCTGGTTGAAAAGTGTGGTTACATCCTGGTTTAGTTTCGGTGTACTAGCGTCAGTTCCTTCGGCTAGCGCTCGCCTCGCTGTATTGAGCGTTGATTTGGGATCCTAACAATGAATAAGTGTTTCTGGGTCCGACTGTACTGTGTTGACTCCGAAAACCACTTCGGGTAAATCGCGGTCGTTCTCTGGTCGCAATAGTTTATCTGCAACCGTATTTTCTCCCCTCAATATTTGACCAATCGTAAAACCACACTTCTGCACGTGAAACGTCTGTCGTGATAATTTCCTCCTGGGGGTCTTGTGCTGTTTTTACACATTGTAGTAGAATCGTTGACCATCTATGTACGATCTCCATTTGTCTACCGCACAGATGATCGCTAAAAATTATTTTTCAGTGTTTGAGAACTGCTACTTATTGTCGGAGATCCTTCAACCCACTCCTCCATGGAGACTGACGTCTTGAAGTCGTTCGTTACTGATGACACAGCCAAACTCTTCAGTTGTGTAGCTGCTCTAGTCATTTTCTAGATGTCCATTGGCTGTGCGGCATTCGCCACCCGAAACTGTTGGTCTATCATCTCTGGGACACTCTCTAGGAATTAAGATGCCAGCAACTTTTCTTTCGATTCCTCTTCTAGTGCGGGTAATGTTCATCGAAGCAAGTTAGCTAACGTAGATGCCAATACAAGTAAGTCTCCGTCTGGCACAAGGTGCATAACTTTAAACTTCTATAATACTTCCTACTGCTAAGCCAGACTTTCGAACTCCATCAGCGTTCGAGAAACGAGGACGTCCTATGATTCCTCCCCATCAACAGGAGCGACACCATCTGGTGCCTCTTCCACCCTGCTGCGCACTTGTGTCCCCAAAACTATCACCTTTCCCCACTGCTCCTGCTCATCGACCAGTGCTACCATGTCCTAGAATTGGCTCAGATTACTCTTTACGTCTTTACTTTCAAATAGCTCTGGCCGCAGCACTTTCCTCCTGATTCTTGCCAGCGACACCAAATTTAGAACAAGGCAGTAGGCAGAAGAAATGTTTATTATGATAAATTACAATGTAGCTATAGTATGTATACATAGCCTTCTAACATCCACTTGCATCTTGCGGTGTTTCCTGCAATCCGAACTCTTCTCTCCGTCTTACAACTGTGACAACTTCGACGCCACGTTTTGCTGCATACTACTTACAAGCAATCTTTCTAATAGTATTCACCACATCTGTAGACGATTTATGAGATTCTGTATCTCACTGTAGATCGTGTGATATATGTTTTTGTCCATTAGTTGTTTACATAATGAAGTGACATCAGTTAAAGATTTGTTGGGAAGCATATACAACTGAATAGCTGTTTCATTTTAATTTGGCCACATTCTCATCAATGTACACCTACAAGACTCGTAGGTTACAACTTCTGAACCTACGAACATGGCTAAGTCCAGTAGTCACTGACTTCGTGAACAGATTCAACTTTTCGGTTTTCGGCTCCTAACTTTCTTTCAAAACATATCATTTAGGACACAACCATATGGATAGTTTTAGATACGAGTGCTTTAGTTTTTTCACTATTCCGTTTGTGTCTGAAGTCTCTTAGTGAATACAAAAAAATTTAATAGTTAAATTCATGAGTCAATAGAAGCTAGACCACCATAGAAAACTAGAAGCCACTGGACGGTCGCTTCCTCTTAGTATGAAACTCAAAAAAATGTAATAGTTTTGTATGGATTTATTATCATTTTCTTAATTTGTTGAATTGGTTTCATTTCAGCAGATAGGCATAAATGTACTTTGTGGCATTCATTATCTAATACAATGTAATTAAGGTCAAATTATCTACAATAACATGGTGCTTTGATACTGGTAAATCCAAGGAATTTAGCGTACTAAAGCGCGTTTGAATGTGATAATTACTGTTTGCTACTTAGTAAAGACCTTTTACATTATAAATGTATACATTTCCCTAAATCGCCATTTTACCTATACATTTCAGCAGTGTTGGCGATGATAATAATGATGATGGCTAAGTAGATAGATGAGTTGTATTTGAAAAAAGTGCATGGCATATATATATATATATATATATATATATATATATATATATATATATACATAAAGATAGAATGAATGTATTTTATGAACTAGTTTTAATGTCATTTAAATGATAGAAAATATGTACTTTAATATTGATATATTCTACAATTCACTTGCACAGATCATTTTATTCTAATATATTTAAAAATTTATTACTAATTCCATCTTTTAATTACTGAGTTAAAGCAATGAATTTCTGTATGCTTTCACATATCAATGTATATATATGCATAAGGTCAAGGTGGACACTTTCAAACTAGCGTACACAAATACTTAAATAGAAGCAGAGTATAAAGAAGAGTTATATACTTGTAAAAAAAATGGAGAATTAATCACATTAGGTATGTATGTAGCATGTATATCTAACTAACTATATCGATTGCATGTGAGATGATTAAATTTCTCCATAATTTTATGTAATGCATATTCTACTTTCTACTCATCAAATAAGTAGTAATATTATCAATTGTAATAATATTACTACACACTGCTCCATTGTCAGGTTATTTTGACAGTCATCATTATTGTTGATTGTGATATATGTGTGTATGGATATGTATGTAAATTACAAAATAGGCTTATCATTCAAATCCTTTATGATTCGTGACAATTACTCAAGTTGTACCTGAGGTCACAGTGTTAACAATAATAATAATTGATAATTACATCAGTTAAAATTAACAGCGATTCATATAAAACTGATAAACCCTAACGGTTATATATTTATACTGAGTATTGCACAATACAATGAGTAGACTATGCTGATTTCTTTCTGTCATATTTGGGACAATATTTGATTAAATTTTATCAATTAATATTATGCCTCATTTCAATCAGCTTAACATTAAAATATATAAAAAGTCTTTGATATCAATTAGAGATATACATATACGTCAGCTGGTTTGACTAGATTCACAAGATGTTAAAACAGTTCGTCATATTTGATGAAAACCTTGATTCATTTCATAGTTCTACCGAGATGAATTGACAGCCCTAATATTATTATTCATCAAAATGTATAGCATTGTTTTCTCTAATCCAATTCAACAAGACTTTCTTCTTTCTACTTTATAATACGAGATAAACTTACCATGGATAAGCTTACTTCATCATGTCAATAATATCTACAGTTAGCCTACAAATAGATCCAACTGTCAGACATGCACACAAATATATCACACAGTTTGTGTAGTAATATCAAAAAGATTTTTATAAAATAGGGCTGTTAAGGAATTAACAATTGTAGTTTGTAAATGGCATTTAATTTCGGATGTGTTTCACCCAATCTTCACATATCCTTTTAAGGTTTAAGGGTTAACGTTTGTCCAGAATATATCTAGTCAGTGTGTTCGTGCAGCTACATCACTGAAGAATAGTCATAGGAATGTGTTGAAATACTAAATTTACTATAGAATACAAACTTTTAAACACAAATTATATAATAAAATTTGCTCATTGCACGCTGGTTTAATCATAAATATGAATTAACAAATATTTTGTCATCGTAATACAACATCAACAGTGAAAGGTGAACATTGTAGTGGTGCCTACGTGAATTGATGAATACGTATTTTGTACGAAAGGAAATCTGCTTTCAAACTTTAAAAGTTGCGAAAAGAACATTTTTTAAAATATAGCGGTACAAACTGTCTTAAAAAATGAATTATCAAACTAATTTGGTAAACCAAATGTTTTCCTAAATCTGGGGACTAAATATGATAATAGATTTATATAATTGACACAGTTCTACAGAAGGGCTTCGTTACCCGACTGGTGACGTCTCTGACTCTCGCACTAATGTACACATTTGAGCTTATAGTTAAGCACCATTCTCTGGAAAGTTTTAGATACTTCACGTTAATTAGTTACAATGGACATGAACATAAGTTTTTGGCTTCTAACTCACAAGCTTTGCCTATTTCATTAATATACGTAAGCTTATCGATGAGCTTAGTGAATTACGTACGCAACATGATTAGGTCATCAGTAACAGTCAAAGCAATACATATATTTACGATGATTAAGGATAAATGTTTATTGATGATCATTGTATGACATTTTTCGAAATGCACATACATGTTCACGTACCTGTTACAAAGTTGAAACAAATTGACCATTCAGCATTGTAGCTAGTTAGCCAACCGTGTACATTGTTCAACATATTTAATAAATTATCTCTGTTTACATGTCAGACACTGCATATACTTAGTTTTTTGTCATATATTTTCACAATCCATGTCAGTAGTTGGCGTTAATTACTTATCGACTGATATATTTCCTTTAAATTATGCTTACTGCTTAAATTTTGCAACTAGACACAACTTGTTTTTTCATTCATTCGTTATTGTTGAAAACTTTTCATAGCTTGGGCAAATACAGTGTATGGGAAGGCAATCCATATTGTGAGCCACATTATCTTGTATTGTTCAAGGCGTTTGGTAAGTTGCATAATTATTCTCTATTTCTACTAGATTTTTCAAGTCTTTAATTGATTAAGATGTATACGTGTGTGTTAAACTTATCAATGCATTCATGCTGTAGTTGCATCTTTCCTCACTTGTGAGTGCATCAATCCCGTAGTTCGAATAGTTCATTTCCGAATCTTGATACAAATTACATTGTAACACTTTTTAATCAAGTCGAAATTGTTCTAATTATTTCCAAATTGATTTGGGTTGTGAAGTGAATAGGAAGATACGTGAAATATCAAGATATATCACTAGTGATTGGCTTGTTTAATAAACATTCTATAGCAATAAAATTGATATCTGTTATCCTAAAATATACATGATGTTGTAACTATCCCACTTGCTCGATGAGTTATTTTGCTTACAAGAGTTATGACTATTAGGGTGTATATTCAGCCAATAATACTGGATTGCAAAAAAATATCACCTATCAGTTTCGCATCCGTTTTCACTTCACATAATTAACATCCATTTCAGTATCAATCAGCCAGTCAGTAACAACGTAGAACTTCGTACGTACGTACGTACGTCAGTTCGAGTTGCCACACCATATTAGCACACAAATGCAGTGGTCGATTCAAATCCCGTAGTGGTAGAGGCGGTAAAATTATAGGCAGTAATCGGAAACATTAGGGTTTGAAGTTAATTCAGTGAAATAAATTTGGAGAGAGAAAAAAGACAAGGAGGATTCAAGATATTAGAAATCGGGAGAACACAAAGAGTGAATGCACCAGCGCCTTTGCAAACGATTTTGAGCCATGTCATTCAGGGTCTCTAGTCATAGGTTGCTATCATCTCGCGGTCCCCAACCAGGCAGTCTACACCTAACATGACTCAGTCCAATTGTCAGTGACTTCATGAACTTGTGCCATGTTTTGGTCTGGCCGCCCCTAACTTTCTTCCAACCTACTCCTATACCACTGAGCATCGCACATCGAGGTAGTCGGTGGTTGGGCATACGTAACACGTGTCCCAGCCATCTCAACTGATGATTCAGTATCAATATTTAATCTAAACAACTTATGAATCATGTATTTTTAAGTTGTTTCCTAAAGGTGTCCTCTTAATTTGTGTCATCCTGTTTTCACCCGTATATTGACATTCATTCCTTAATCGTTTTCAAAACATACACATTATATCAGTTAAAGTGTGCTGTCGCGTCTTAATAGTAGATTTCGATTTTGTTTGAGGTCATGACAACCGGGAAATCGGATGCTGTTATTAGTTGTCGTCAGCCATTTCTCCCAGTGTCAATTACTGATAAAGGCTATGGTTAACATAACTAGCCTCATTATTTTGACGTAATTCACGAAAAATGTTTGACTCCTTACTTACGTAAGCATCCAAGTACTTTTGTCTTCTAATATCATCTTTAACTATTATTATTATGACTGCTATGGTTAATTTTTTTCTTGACAGTTGCTATTATTTTCATCATCTCTCACTTTATCCGTTCACTAATAAATTAGACCTGTATGAATATATAAAGTGTTCATAGTTATTTTTTATCAGTTAATTAATTGACTTTAAACATGCTACACACTAAATTACATTTATGAAACATTTTATTGATTTATACAAATCTCTGTGTATGTGGAGGATTTAGAGCGCACAAAATGAAATGAATTCACTTCATCCCATTAAATTTTTTGTTCTCACTTTAAAAATAAACAATCCAGTTTCTAATTTTAAAACAAATATTTCAAACAAAATAGTATAATATATTCATTTCATTTTGAATTTTTAACAAACTTCCTTTGTGATTTTATTTTAACTATATTAGTGAAAACAAGTTTATTTTCCATTTTCTTTTTCTCTAGGACAGTATAACGGTAATTTAACAAAAACTCCAACATTTGATGCCTCATCTCATGGTAAGTTCATCATAATTTAACATTCATTTGTTGCTGATGTTGTTTTTTGTTCATCTTTCTCTTTTTATCCGTCTCTACTCTTCTTTTCTTCCCGTCCAAGATTGCTTTCTTTGTTTTCACAGATCGATTACTGTTTGTATGTCTGTTAACTGTTCTTCTGTAAAGGAGTGAAACGAAAAACTGAGATGCTGACAACTCATTCATTCTTAATTGTTTTAATTGTCTCTTATAGTTTTGTTCTAGTTATTTTTTTCTCTTTCAACAAAGTTTCAGATTTTGTTTACTTATCAAAGAAACTGAGTAGATTTGGATTGCAGTAAGCTGTCCACATCTTCAATTGCCTTTTCTTTTTGTTTTTTATGACTAAGTAATTCGACGTTGCATGTTTTTAGTGTGGTGAATGATTAATATTAAAATAAGTTGTTTCTGTTTTTGCTTTTAAAGTTTAAATTATTGAAATCATCTTGATTACATAATGAATTTGCAAACTAGTTGATCCTCACAATACGTGTTCTGCTTGATCTGCGAAGTAGTAGTAGTATTACCAATAGTATTACAGTATTGTTTACAATATAACTTTTTTAATCGTGTGATTTCGATAGTGTAATAAGTAGACGAAGATTATTAGAACTATGTGATATTTTATCGCAATACATTTTGAACAATCTGATCATACACATACTTGTTAATGACCCGATAAGAGTAAAGGATAAACATTCATCATCCTCCATTACCAAATACATAGTTGAAACAGATCTTAACACGACTTTTGTGGTGTTGTACAAAAGTATGAACTGGCGTGTTTTATGGTTTATTGAAGCCTTAGCCATACGAAAATTCAAAACCCTTTTGTGCATTCAAACACAGTTTGTTCTTACCTTGAACCTATTATTATTATTAGCTAATTATCCAGAGTGATGAGGTTTCAAATTGTTTCGAATAATGTTTTCACACTATTTTTTTTATTATCCTTGTCTCCTCTTACCCTCCATTTCTAGTCTATTTGACTTTATTTTTATATATAAATGTTCTTAACAAGTATATGTGTAGTCGTATTGTCCGAAATTATTGAGCTAATATACGACATAGTTCTGATAATCTTCGTCTTCTTATTACACTATCGAAATTTGTCAAAGGGACTAATTGCTTCGAATCATGTGATGGTTATCAAAACATGCCTGAAATGTGTGTCAATTAAACAGTTTAGAGTGAAACTAAATTTTATCATAGTGTTTAGTAAACCTCTTATCAAGTAATCATGTTGAGTATCCTCGAGTGGAAATCACTCAGTTTCCACGTTACACCCTGGTAATTTATGATATTCAATTTTCTGATAAATCAGTGAAGTGAAGTTTATTTAAGAAAGTATTACTGGTGGTTATGTGTGTTTATATATAGCTGCTGACTGTAAATGTCCATCCAAATCATTGTTACCAATTCTCTTAAGATAATAAAAACACTTATGGACTACAATATGCCTTTGGTTAGAATAATCTATGTCAAAGTTTAAACGCATATCTCTTCCTAAAAATGTTCTTTTAATCGATAGCCTTATATATATTGACATCACAAAGGGGTCAGAGTTGGACGACCATTAGAAACTTTGGAAGATTGGACAGCCGTTTCGTCCTAGTACGGGGCTCCTTATGATTGCTTGTCCACGATCCCACACTCGCGAATCGAACCCAGGACTTTTGGTCTTTGTTAGGTACCTTCCTCACACTCGACACGGTTTAGCTGCACTAGACATGGGTTCTCTCTGGTTCATCGGAAATTTCCTCTAGAAGCTAGTCACTAGTAAAGAAGCGGCTACCCAGTGTTTCCAGATTTTTAATCTCCTAACTCTGATTAGTTCGTGATTTCAATAAAATTCAATATTATCCACTACCCTATGCCGAGAATTCAGTCAGATTCGATTACATTATGATAATTACACAGGATATCCGTGACCCTATTCATAGGTTCACTAAATTAGACATAACCAACTAACATAATGGGAATTGTGTTTTTTGGTGCATGGTAATTGCTTATTTCAAATCTCATTGTTGAGAGATTCATTCTCGCAATGGTTAGACAGATGAAAATCTTTGTCTTATTATTGTTCATTAACTAAAATGTGACAGTATTTGAGTTATTTTGTACTTAGGAGTAGTAACCCGTTTCAAATTTCGTCAGCTGACTAAGTTTTTAAGACGTTTCAGTTCGTGTTTTTTATTTGTAGATGAGAGGTTCTTATCAAAAGCCCCAATTATATCATATTTAACTAATTCAAAGTAGCACTAACCAATTATAATATTTAGTAACCATAGTTCATTCATTCAGTAGATTGTCAACTCACTTGCTCTGCAACTATATAACCCTAAAAAATCTATTGAAAAAAATTGTAACTTCATCTCATTTGTGAACTACTTTATAATTACAAATACTCAAATGTTTTGTCATTTCTTATCAATCATACCTAGTTTAATCTTATCTCATTATAAATACTATCTTGGTTTTCAGGACTTAACAAAGTCTAGACTGGACTAACCAGCCCAGTGAACAATTGTTTTTTTCAGTTTTACCACAAAATTAGTTCATCTTTGCATAAAAATTCCTACTTGTCCTATTTAAAAATACATAACACTGAGGGTTTTTTCTTTTTTGTACAAATAATTGGTCTCGAAATGTATTGATTTTGTATGTACCTACGTTAGTTTATGCATATGTGACTCACCCTACATCTCATCGATATTATTAGATTTGAGACTGATCTCATCGATTTTTCTCTCTTAATTGTTATAGTAAGTTTGTAGTCCACCTCTATCCCTATTGTTTTCTCTTGTTTAGTGTATTTGAGTTTATACATATCAACAAATCGACTAGTAGAGGTTACTTTGCATACATTCTTTTTGTCTGCCTTAAATCGTACCAATCGCATATTTTATCCTTGTTATAACTCTAACTAGACAAAAGACACATATATTTCCTACACGACTTGAACATTTTCTGTAGTTGGCCAAGGGAATGGAAATGAGGTCAGAGAAAATGTTGGTATTGTGAGTTGATTAGTGGATGCAGTCACTCTCTTATTGTATTGTTTATGTATCGAATCTGTTATGTCTACGTACTCTAGGTTATAAAGATAATAACTTGAGCCATGTTATGTCATCAAGCTTGTATATTTTCGAATACTTCACTTTACAGTAGTAATTATTTGTACTTATATTAGTTATTGATTTACAAGTCAATTATTATTTATTCTCGGTCTCTATAATTATTCACTAACTTCCTGGGTTTTTTTTGTTCCTGAACAAACAAATAAAATGTTTGACCTTATAAATAGGATCGAATCCCAACTCATGTTTATAGCTGAATTTTGACCCTTAGTTATCATTATTTATGTATGTATTGTGTTTATGCGTGTAGATTGTTAGCATTTTATCTTACATGACTTCATAGCGTATTTCTCACATGGTAAGTAGTCTCGAGGTTATGCGTTGTGTACTAGTTATCAAAGCATTGAGTCTGTCGATCACTTCACTTATCTTGGAGGTCTCATCAGACCTCAGTTGGTGTCTGACGAAATCTCGGTTATCTTTTCCAATTCTTAGGTCAGATGCAGAGTACTAGATAAGAATGATATCAGTTGATGAGGTAGCCAGCATTTGTCGATTGAGATGGTTAAGACATTTGTTACGTCTTACCAAACACGGCTTACTTCCGCAGACAATGTTACCAGGTGTAGGGGACTAGGTTGTTAGAAACTAGAGGCAGAATAACCAATGCATTGTAGCAGTCCATGAAGTCGTTGACAATTGGATTGAGTCATGCAAATAAATGTAAACACCTGGTTGCTGTCCGTGTAATTATAGTAAACAGTGGTTAGAGACAAGGTGACGATTCGAAATCGTTCCCGACTACGCCGGGACATTCACCTCTTGTCTTCTCTTAAATCTTGAATTTCTAAACACTTTGCGAAATTTCTTATGTTCCACTAATTTATACTATCTTCTCAAATCATATATGCCTAATCTGTGTTGTTTACCACTTATATTGTTACTACGTAAACTACCCCGACCGAAGCTGCTACCTTGACGCGGTGGTCGGGCTTGCCTATCGTGATGACCCGACCGAGCTATATTGGCTGTAACATATATTCCTGTAGGTTCTACCATACAAGACAGGTCGATTGGAGAACGGTAAGACTAAAAGCAGCAATTCAAGGTATGAGGGCGAAGTCGTATTGCTGACTGTAGACAGGTGTGACAGCAGTAAGGTGTTTCCCTCGGACAACCAGCATGACAGCGATGCTGCCTTCCCACAAGGAGGGGTGGGGTTAGAAAAGGTCGACCATAAAAATGTCACACCTCACCTTACCTCACGGATTTCCGTCTCCGGCGGTAAGGCCCTTTGAAGAACGGAGCTAACAGATTAAAAACCTTCCACAAAAAGGCCGTGCACGACCGGCCTTAAGCAGTTATCCCTTGGGCTCTGCAGTCACGCTCCCAGGTCGTTAAGACCAACACTAATCCAATTTCCTTTTCAGGTTCCTCAAGAAATACCCTTCCACGAGCTAGGCAGCTGGGAAGTGATAACCGCCCTCATACCCGTAACAGCACACGAGACCAAGTTGGTCACATTTAAATCCCTCCTACACCTCCTAATACCTTTCTTATCTCCATGACTAACCCTCCTCACGTCTTTCTATCACCTCACACCGCTAGGGCAAACGATTCGAGTACGCGGAACGCTATTCCTGGTCTCCTGAAACCACGCTCTAAACTACACGTAGGAGCTTTTAACGTCCGAACACTTTGCCAAATAGGACAACAGGCTTCCTTAGCTAGGACTTTAGAATCCCGCGCCATTGACGTGTGCTGCGTCTCCGAAACGCGCATACAGGATCCGAGAAGCGTCATTCACTTGACCTCACCATGCCAAAATAAAGAACCGACTCGATTCACACTTCGTGTATCTGGAAGCCCAGATTCTGCTTCCCATGGCCTCACCGGCGTAGG